AGCTTTACAAGAAAAGCAGATGTAAAAACATGTCTGGTTCTTTTAATGTCATTTTGCTATGAAAATGATATCAAATATTCTTTTACCAAACTTTCAAAAGCCTTTAAGACGAGCATTTATTATACTACATTAGTTGCTTCTTTATATCATTCTAGGCGTCCATTAAGAGCCACAGAGGTTACAAATAGCCACTTGTGGCTCTTGAGCTGAAAATTGCTGACACCTGCTCTAGGCAGTAATTAACTGCATGTTGAGCACGGACATAGGAGTGAGAATGAAACGTAACAGCTGACGTGGTAGAAATATTGGAAAAAAATGTCTAATTTAGCCTAACAAGTGTCTTTAGTAATGCTGTTGAATCAAAGGAAGGATTGCTGATGCCCGTCTACAGTGGTTATTGGGTGAGGAAGGGTACGCATTCCTTCATGTATTTTTTTAACAAGGTATAGAGAACAACATTGATCTGTTTTTTTATTCTTGAGGGACAGTTCTCAGAGTATTGCAAAAAAGGAAAAAACACTTTAAGTATTAACAGATTTTATTCCAGTCATATGAAAAAAACTTTGATAATAAGCACAAATTAAAGAGAAATAGAAATGAACCAAGGCCTGGACGACCACATAGCCAAATGAGTGATAGCAAAGAGTAAGGTCGGTCGTCAGTATTTATCCTCACCCAGTCAGGTTGGTGATGTTATTTGCAGCAGAACACTAAAATTATGCACACACACACGCTAAGTTTCCTAAATAAATAACAGGAACCCACAAGGTCCTCTTCTAACATAAATGCAGATGGTTATTATGATAAAGCAACAATTGGAGCATCTGTCTAACTGACTTGCAAGTTGCCACATCAACACTTTGCGCCAAATGTCCACGGAGAGATAAAGCGGGGACATGTGCTGCTCAGCATGGAGCTGGCTGCTGGATGTCACAGATAAACAATGAATAGTAACCTTCAGCAGAAATAAGTCTTAAATTAACTAAATAACAAAATTAACCCTCATTAAAACAGATCAGTAATCTGCTTGCAACTGGTAAAAAGTCTTTTGGGTACCTTTTAAAAATGCACTGTGACGGATCCAAAGGGAGTAAATTTACTGTCCTCCTAAAACTAAACTTTGAACACTCCCAGAAACGATGAAATGAGGAGCTCATTTATTGATGGTTTCTGGAATGTTTGAATTGAAATAATTCAATTTTGAGGAGGTAATAAACCGGTTAACCATTTGTATTGAAGGAGTCTGGATTGCACAATAATCATCTGAGTTAGGATGATTTAAGTAGTGATGTTTTTCACACCAAATTTTGATAATATTTTTCAAAAGAGGATTCTAGAAATTCCTTTCGACCAGTCACATAAAGGTAGAGGTTAGAAGAGATTTGAATATTTATAGATTTAGTTTAAACCAAAGCAGGTGCTTTCTCATCAACAAAGTAAAATATTGCTGCTCTCATTGGAGCAGCCCAAACAGCCATCCATTTTCTCCCACTTAGTCCTTGTCAGAGTCGCGGTGGGGTCGGCTCCTATCTGGAAAGAGGCGAGGAACACCTGGACAGGTCGCCAGTCTGTCGCAGGGCAACATGGAGCACACAAACATGCAAACACACTCATACCTAAGGAAAATTTAGGGAAGCAAATTAACCTAACAGTCATGTTTTTGGACTGTGGGAGGAAGCCCGAGTACCCGGAGAAAACCACACATACACAGGGAGAACATGCAAACTCCATGCATAGAGACGATGAATCAGCAATGAAAGAGTCTTACTTCACGGCAGCAGTGTTACCAACTACCCCATCTTGCAGCCCCAGCCCTAACATTTTAGGTGAAAATGATCTCTAGAGCTTTTTTTGCAGCATTTCTCAGCTGTCTCCTTCAATTTCCGTCCATTTTTGTAGAGAATATAAAATATAACTGTTAATATAAACCCCAATGAGCTCTAAAATTATTACAGCTTTATACACTTTCCAACATGCTTTTGTCTATCTAATCCCCCTGTCCAGCTTTCCAAGGCTCAAAAACCTATGGTATGATTCAACAGGATCATATTCTGTGTTTTCTTTTAATTTCTTTTTTACCAACTTGTGACTTTTATATTTTCTAATGTAAGATCACATTGAGAGACTTTAAAGGCATAGATGAATAGCTTTTATTATAAATTATATATTTATATGTCTATATCTTACATGTATCTCTGTCCAATCCAGAGACACTAAACATGTTTTTCGTGCATGACCAAATGTATATTGCAATGATTAGATCTTTGGTCTCTCCAAGAGGAGCACATCTCTGCTACAAAGACTAGAAAGTTAACATTCTTTAATTTTTGTTTTAAACCTTTATATTTTTTGTCTTTCCTGAGTCATTGGTTATATAAGATCCTAAAGTTAAAAACAGAGCCCATGGGGAAGCTTCCTTCTTTCTTGGTTTAGGGTCCTGGGAACAGACTGGGGCTTAATTTTCTGTTTTCATGTCAAACACTGTCATTCGTATTCAGAGAAGAAATGGAGGAAACTTCTGTTCCTCAATGTTTGCTGTAGGATGTTACTGATCTTCTATAAATCTGTTGTGGAGAGAGAAGTAGCATCTTGCTGTCATCTTATTACCACTGCTAAGGTTCTGATTTATTTGCAGGAATACCTGAAATTTATGATTGCGCCTCACACCAACAATCCACTAAATTTGGATACAGGACTTTTTTAAATGACTTTTTAACATCGTTATATAGGGATATATGGTGAAATAAGCAGTTCCCCCCTAAACCAGAGTGTGCCAGCAGAGACTATTAACAGCTTCAGCATTTGACTAAAAAAAGTCTGTAAGCATTATACTGAAGTTTGATAAAGTTAACCACTGCAACTTTAGTTTGGGCTTAATTTTATTAAGAATTTATGATAATTTAAACAAATGCATATTTAAGTTCATTTAATACAAGAACCTAACAAGAATGCTGATGTTTTAAGTGTTTAGTTTCCATAATAATTTCCATTTACAATCTTTTTTTGTCTAATAGATAATATTTCATTTTTGTAGCTTATCTGTATTTATTTCTTTTGATTTTAACATCTGTTTAGCACATTGTGCTACAGTGTACCATATAGAACAAGCTGAGGATTACTGAGTTAGATCAGGCCTAAATGTGAATCGGCCACTTATAACCTAGGAAGCATTTCTCATGTATGTTAATGAAGCAGCCTTAAACCAGCAGCACTGGAATCACTGAGGAAGCTTTTATCAGGATGGGATTGAGACACTAAAAGATATATATGCTGATACTTGACTTTAATACGATGTATTTATGCTATATTTCTCTCAAGAGGGTTAAAAAAATATCTGAACACTGAAGGTATTTCCTTCATTTTTTTAAAATCAAAAGATTGTTTGGACCACAGACAAATGCCTGCAGAGACTTTGAGCTCACCAGCTGCTGCACAATGTTGCCACAACAGAAGGTGACAGTTAACGACAGAAAGACCTGCTGGTTGGATATGCTTTGTCCTTCAGCAGCCTACGGTTTAATCTAACATGTAGTATTTTCTTTACAGTGGACTAAACCAATGTAGCGTCCATCAGATTAACTGTATAATCCTAAAAAAAAAAAAAAAAAAAAAAAGACATTCCATGGCTTTAATGCAAGCTTTATACTGTGGGTTGTGGGAAAAGAATTCGACAGGAGCAGCTCATTGTTAAAAATAAATGTGTGGTTTTGATTTACTTCTGGAAACACCTTTACATGCACAAAGGCAGATGAACAACCTTTCCGTTTTTTGGGTATTATTTTGGGTGCTGTATATACTAGATAGAGCAAATATAGTTAGTTCAAAGCTACTGTAGAAGATGCTACTTATTACGGTATATAAGTTTATTGTTTTCAGAACTGGATGCTCCCAAATCCCTCTAAAACAGACAAATCTTCTCTTACCAACCCAAGATTAGTACTGAAACACAGCAGACTAACAAGTAATTGCCAGACTGTATATATAAATATATATATATATATATATATATATATATATATATATATATATATATATATATATATATATATATATATATATATATACATTTACATACATAGGCCTATTACAAATACAGGTTATAACCTTTAAATAAAGAACATTCTTATAAGATAATGATCATTTCTATAATTAGAAAATTCATCAAACATATTCATGGTCCAAACTTTTGTAATTTAAATTACTTATTTTCCCTATATATAATTAAAAAAAGAAACAAAATATCTAAAAATATATATATATTTTACATTTCTAGTAAATCAAAAATATTGACTTGCAAACATTGCTCTTTACACTTTTAAGACTCACCCATAACTTTAAAGTTCAAATAAATTGTGACATTTGGTGGGCGGGGCCTGTTTTGCTGACCAATCACATCCAAAAGAGACTCTGTGCAGGCAAACTTATTTTGAGATCTTAGTAAAGAGGGACATTTTTTTTCTCAAGGTTAATTGCAAAATTTCTTTACAGGATTTGAATTTATTTCTTTTTTTTACCGCCTGCTAAAAGATTAAGTTTTATTGCTTGAAAGGGATAAAAATAAATTACATCCTTGTTACATGATGAAATAAAAGATCTTTGAACCAGGGTATTGGTGATATGAGTGAATAACTGGCTCAGGATCAATACGTCACTTCACCAGGCCATGCCTCTGTTTAGTACTCATTTTTTCCTTTTTTTTGTTTTGTACCTGTAAACATACCGTTTTGCTCAAACCATGGGGTATCAAGTTTTGTTTTAATCTCAGACAAGCAAATTTATGTTTTGCAAAAAGATTATTTTATACTCTCTTCACTCTTCATACCAATCTGAAAACTTTTAGTCACTCTTTATTATGGCTCTATTCATTTGGGCAAGCTACTATGTTTGGGATATGACAGATTAGATGCCCTGATCGAAATAACTAACTTATCTCATAGTCGTAGAAATGATTCACGGATGTCATATTCTCCATTTTTTCTTTTACGCCTTTTATTAGGCTCCTTAAAACAATATTTTGGGTCCCATGGTTGGTTCCAATGTATACATGGTTAGCACAAAACATCCTGAGGTACCATGTGATTCCTAAAAAGGTGTGAAATTATAACATTTCCAGAGGTATAACATGGTAATCGGTGAAATGACCAGCGCCCAATACCTGGCACAACTTGTTAATGATGATAGACCCTGAGGTCAATTTCCTGTAAGATCACAGCGTTGTAAAACTATAGTTCTCACAATTTTCTCTCAGTCCCTTCATCGGTTATAGTTTTACTGTGTTGTTGCTTTGGAAGGAAGCATCACTGCTCATCTGCACTTGATCAAAAAACTTGAAATCGACAACATAGCGGCAGTTGGGAGAGCTAAAGAGCACCGGTTTGAACTCGTAGCCCCACAGGATCTCCTGAGGGACGTAAGAGGTGCGGCTCTGACATGTTGCCGCGGTCGACTCCATGGTGGCATTGAGTGTTATGAGCAGCTCAAAGTTGCGATGGCTCAGGGTTTCTGCAGTCAGTCCTGCCAGTGGGCTCTTCTCATCAATAACATGGTAGAAGGTGAGCGGGAGGATGAGAAAAGGACAGTCTCCACTGGAGTCCATGTAGAAATCGACAGAGCTCTGATGGATCTGTGTCTTCTCTCCTTCTTCGGTTACATTGGATTGAAACAGCTTTCCCGTTAGCTGGCACTGAATCAGCAGACTTTTCCTCATGTTAGCCACTCTCACCATCAGACACAGCTTGCCCTGGTGTCTGCAGATCACAGCCACTTGGCTAAACTTAATGGTTTCTGCTCGCTTCTTTGGTCGGGCAAGTTTGGCCAGAAAAGCACCAGTGACAAAGATCTCAGCAAGACCTGTGATGACAAGCTGAGCCACCAGCGTGAAGATAGCCAGAGGGCACTCTTCAGAGATGTATCGAAAACCATAACCTATAGTGGTCTGTGACTCCAGAGAGAACAGGAAGGCTCCAGTGAGAGTCTCCACATTCATCAGGCAGGGTGTGTGGGTTGAATTTTGCCCAACATCAAAGTCTCCATTCCCCATGCCGATTAAATAAAAGAAAACCCCAAAGATAAACCAGGTCATGATGAAGGTGGAGGCAAACAGAGTGACCTTGTAACGCCACTTCATGTCCACTACAGTAGTCCAGATATCATGCAAGTAGAGCTTCACCATTCTTTCAACATTGTCGAGCTGAACGTTGTTATGGCCGTCCTTGGACACGATCCTTCGCTGGACCTCTGACTTCCTGTTTACCATGATGCTTTGCTTCAACAAAAACTGGGCGTAACTGCAGAGGTTTTATAGGAGCATTCCAGATGAGATGGCTGGCAAAGGACACAAAAGGAGATAAGATTAATATTTTTGTTTGATTGTTTCACTGTAACTGCGGAAGTCTTTCATCATTAATCATTCCGGACGCTTATCATTTAGATTTTGCCTCCATAAATCCAGACCTCCTTCTGGTCTTTACTTAAAGTACGGGTTAATTATACATTTTCCTTTTTTTTTAACTATTGTTGTTTTCTGAAAATGGTTTTGAGTCTTTGCACATGGCGTTGCCTGACTATTGGGAAGACTTGACAAATATTGATAAAAACTCATAAATAGATCAATCAAGATAAAAATATTGATTAAAAACTTGAAGTAAAGGTCAGAAGTGAATCAGACAACATTAAATCAAATCATTTAACAAGTTTGTAGTGGTTGCATTGATGTAAATGTGAAATAAACGTACTTTTCACATTGAATAAACGTAAAATTAATTACACAATCCATCCATTTATGTTCTACAGATGTTTATTCCACACAGGGTCTCATAGAGGCTGTTGCCTCAGGTTTTGGACAAGAGGCTGAGTACACCTTAGACCGATGAAGGATCCATTGTGTGTACTCAGACCTAAATATGACTTAAAGAGACTAGTTTAACTAACATGCATACAGTATGAGGAAGGCAGAGTACCCACTGATGCACAAAAATAGGCAGAGGTCATTTAGAAAGGTGCTAGCTTGCAGCCAAAGTTGTGCCACCATGCAGCTCCACAGTTATGCAACAAGCAAAAAGTTTTTCATAAGAGTTGACTTGGAACACAGTGTATACACCTCTACTAAAATATTAACTGGCTTAATGAGGCTGTAACCTTGAATAGTTTTCCACTAAGGTCCACCATGTTAAAAATTAACAAATCATATTAGAATATTATTTGAGTTGCCGTGTTGGTGTGTTGTAAAAAGTCTTATTAAAGAAAGCTAAAGGTCGGTCAAAAAACTAAAAATAAAATGCCATGGTGTAACCGTCTCTGATGTGGGCCGGCTCCTGATAGTTCTGCTGCAGATTGAATCGTCCCAGAAGTCGCAGTCATCCGGTTATGCAGCCTGCTGCTATGTAGGACTGAGTGCTTACAAATATGGCAGCATTATTGTAATAAAAAATAAATATTTTAGACTTAATACATACACATACTTTTTTGTTTAAAAAAAAAACAATAGCTAAGAGGTTTTTCTTTTTTTTCTTAACATTCACAGTTTATGCTACAGGTTGAAGCAATCAGAGATGCAGTTTTATGTTGCAGAAAATCCACTACAGAAATTCAGTGCATTTCAAATGAACACTAACTGAATGGACAGGGGATTTGAAATTGCTCTGATGGTGAAATCCTCCATAAATATGCACTTTGTATAAATTTATAATAGCTAAAAGCTCTCAACAAATTTTGCTGTTTGCTAATACTATTTGTTTTTCTTTTTATGTTATCTGTTTTAACCATCCATAGTGATTATTCATAATTATAACTTTCGCTCTAGTATTGTTGCATAAACAAATCTATGTTTCAACCAATGCTAATCAGAACATTATTGATTTAAACAGAGTACAATGTTTTATAAACCTGAAAGTAATTTAACTTTGAATACATTTGTGTTTTCAGCCCTTTATATTAAAAATCACAGTTCTGTATCTACTTACTTTCATTTGAAAGATGAGTTTCTGTTCAGATCTGCTTTGATATGGCCACCACATTTCATGCAGGTAGGGGTCTGTTCTTCAACTGAACTGCTGTTTGGTTTAAGGTCCTTTTTTTTCTTTTAACCACTCTCAAACTTGCATTATGTCTTATGTGTTGTGGCTACCAAGAAAACCCCAGATCATCATCCCTCCACCACCGTGTTTGAAAGTTAAACCTGGACAACTTTCTTTGATTGTATGGCTGCCTGTACGGTAAAATCGTTACAACTGATCCAGAATGCAGCGACTCGTCTGGTCTTCAATCACCCCAAAAATTCTTACGTCACCCCTCTGTTCATTGAGCTTCACTGGTAACCCCTGGCTGCCCGCATCAAATCCAAGTCCCTGATGCTGGCTTCTAAAGTGCTTAAGGGTACGGCTCCCGTCTACTTTAACCCTCTTGCAAAGGCTTATGTCACTCCAGTCTTCAATGGATGGTCGTCCAGCAGTGCCTACACCTTGCTTAAGACAATCCAGACTGTCTTCATGTGTTGTTCCAATATGGTGGAATTACCTACCAAGTGCTGCAAGAACAGCAGCTTCCCTTCCATCTTTAGGAAACTCTTAAAGACCAACCTCCTCCATGAGCATCTCTTATCCTAGCTCTTACCCCTACCTCTATACCCCTCTAACTACTATTCCTGAACTTCCCTCTCTTTGCTGTCACCACTGATTCTGACTAGACATTTTACTCTAGAGAACTTACTGTCATATTGATGATAACTGTAAAATTTTGTCTACTTTGTGTGTCACTTTGGATAAAAGGGACTCCTAAATGCATAAACATAATCAAACGTAGTGAGCATATAAGAAAACACATAAATATGTTTTCGGCACTAACTTTAGATCTAAAGCTCAAGTGCCTTTCACAAATTATTGTAAAGATCAATCATTCATTTGCTTAAGCAAATCCGCCTCTAAATGAAACTAATCTTTCTAGATTTTTTTTCTTTCTACCAAATATTTTACATGAGACAAAATATATGTTCCAAAAAGCAAAATCAGAAGAAAGTGGAATGTGAAAAAAATGGTTTCCTGCACCATAAAAGAAAAAATACTTTATTTTCACTAAGTTGGTTTCACTAAACTGAATAATATTGTAGAAAGAGAGTTAAAATAGTCCTGTCCTGAGCTGGAACAAGGATACAAACATATACTATAGACATTTTCTTGATATTTAATTTGCAGAACAAACCTTCAACCCTGTAGTGAAACATTGCAGGACCCTTTGTTAATTAATAATCATTATTTTCTCTATGAGTCTGTATTGCTCTCACCTTAGTTGAGGAAAACGTCTCAAATGCTTTTCCTCACTTGTTTCATTGTCCCAATAAATCTGCAAGATGAAACTGTCCCAGAACTAGCAGTTCAGTGTCTTCTTTCTCCTTTTGTCCCAAGTAGTGAGCTCTGAACTTTGGTACAATAGTGTTCAGGGAAGAATTAAGTGTAAGACGCAGAGCTGGGCTGTAATCTGGGATCTAGATGGGGGCTGGCTTTCATTTCACCCCCGCCTCCTTCTCACCTGTCCACAGGTAGGAATGAGGAGGGCGACCGCTTGACATTTATTTTCCTTCTTTTATGGTTGTTGTTGCTTTATACACAAGCCCAGATTTACTGCTTTCAGGAGCTTTTTAAAGGACATGATGAACCGTCTTTGAACACGCTTGCTGTCATGACAAATGAAAGGCTGTCTGGCTGAACTGAGGTCAAACTACCAGACGGAAGAATGATGCATTATGTTAATGTGAAACATTTGGAAAACAGTCAATATTTCTGCTTAAATATGAGATTGAACAACATTTTGACACCTGATGTAGGGAAAATAATCCTGTTTTTAAAATAGCATAAAAGTAATTGTTCTTGGTAATTAGCTTATTCACAAAATGTTACACATATATTGGCTGTCGACTGTTACTTGTTCATAATTTATCATAACTGGAGCATGGAACAGTAAAAACAGATTGAAATAGTCAATTAATGTAAAAGTTTTTTATTTTCACCGCGGACAAACAGACTATTACTGTAGACATTACACACCTGAGAGCTGAGGGTACTTTTTATACTTTTGAGGTATTTTTTCTAACCTTTGCCAGGCTCTCTTTAATCAGTTACTTGCATTTATATTTATCTCCAAAACAGAACCAGGGCAGGCAAAATAAAAATGAAATTAAAATAATAATCTAATTATAAATCCAACTGTTGTATGAGGACTTCAGAGGTTAGTTAGGGAACATTGGAGAACAAACTGCATTGTGGAAAGCAAAGAACATGGCAGAGAGGTCAGAGAGGAAGTTGCAGAGACCTTTATAGTATCTAATCATCTCAGAAAGCTGTGTTCAATCAATTATCAGAAAATGAAAAGGGTATGGCCACATCTAACCTACAGAAACATGGCTGTCCAGCTTGCTTGAGAGGACACACTATGAAAATTTTAAATATAGATAAGTCATTTTTTTCCCTTAAAATTTGTGCTTTTTTGTTGAAGTAAGGGGGAAAGTTAGACACTTTGCAACTGGAGCAAGACAATTTACATTTAAAATGAGAAAAAAACTATTTCATTGTTTTATTTAAAGTGCATATTATCTAACTATCTTATTTTAAGAGTAAAAATACTAATTTTATTGTCTATTTACCTACTGAAATTAAATGTAAATACACTTAATTTAAGAACTGTCTTATTTCTAGATGTTTATTGCATTCAGGGAAAGCTTAATTGGTAAATGACTCTGGAGGAGCAGCAGAGAACCACAGCTCAGGTGGGAATTATGACTCAGGCATTACACAAACCTGGCCTTTATGAAGGCCAGAAGATAACCATTAGAAGGTCAGCCTTAACCAGGCTTAATTTGAGAATCCCTGCTGTCTGTCTGAGGTTTTAAAAGAAAAACGAGTAATAACTTCAAATTTCAGATTCTAGATCTATGAAACTGGTAGACTATGGTGGTATAAATTATTGACTCAGAGGGCTGATTATAAATATGTTATACATCTTTTACATTCTTGTTTTAGAAAAATGGTAACCTATGCAACATTGCTCTTTTAATTTAAAATGATGCACTGCATTATATATGTTGATGTAGAATATGTAAAGGACAAAATGTAAAAATGTTTAAAGGCTTTAAGAACTTCTACTAAAGCCAGGGTAAATTAAGACAAGCCAGGTAATAGCTTTAAACTTGCTGGAATGTTTTCTACCTAATGACCTGCAAGATTAGAGTTTCTTTTTTTCCTTTTGCCACACAGTGAATGATTACTGGAAATAACCAGCGGCAAGGTGGGGTGAGAGAGAGACTCCAGATAACACTAAATATCTATGGTCTAAACAAAGTCTTATGTGGGTTGAATGCGAACTGTGTGTGGGTGTGTGGGGTATTTCAATAACAGCCAGTTATTGAATAAACATTGAAAGATGGTTAAAGTGAGTGTTAAAGGATGAGCCCAAATAAAGCTAAAGAAACATAATGGAAGGGCTTCTGCAGAAGCAAAAAGTAGCTATATATAGGAAGTAGAGGTTTTCTGAAGAGTTACTCAAAAGTGTGTATAAAACACATTTGTAAGATGTATAAGCAGAGCGTTTGGCTGTGAATGTAAAAGTAGCTAAAGCAAAGTGTCAAAACAGTTCCTTTAATGAGTCATTAACATTGGATAACTCTCCTCAGATTTGTTATTAACCTCATGGTCCACATTCCTGAGAGCGTATGAGATCACTAGTTTACTGCCTGGTTTCTTCACCTCATTCTTTACTAAATTCAAAGAAACAAACACTGTTTGTTTGTATGCTTATTTAGCTGGTCTTACCTTCATCCTGATGTATTTTTATCTTCAGGATTTAATCACAACATGTTTTTGCATCATAACTGACAGGAGCTAAAAGAGTCACAAGATAACCTGATATTTGATAAGACAAATTAGCTGCCAACTTTGCATGAAATCATGAACAGGATGCATTTTTAAAGGTTTGCAAGAGGTAACAAAGGGTTAAAGTCATCTAAAATTAAGCAAGCTGAATTAGATTAAGTCTTGAGACATTTAACGGTAATTGAAATAAAAAGAAAATATTTAATCTACAATCATCTACAAAACTAAAGTCTTTATTCTTTATCTGAAGATTCTGTTTGAATGTCTTTTTATGCTTGCTTTTGTCTGCAAAGCTCATATAAATTTGTCATTGAAATCTGTTGATTATGACACTCACTATAATATGAAACAATTATAATAATAAAAATGATTAAATAGGTGAATAAGATTATAAGTATCAGATTAAAAGTAAATTAATTAAATTAAGATTTAGCTCAATAGTGCCCTCTGCTGCTTAGAGAGTTTATCACACAACACAAGTTGCTGTTATGGACTGGATATTTTTATGTAGTGTTTATTTTGATAACAATAAGACAGGTTTAAAAAAACTGCTTGAGCTTTTTAAAAATCCTTTTGTTGGTAAGTGTATCTGAATAATAAAAAAATATTAACATGATATTGGACTATACACAGAACTGCATTTATTAATATTTTTATATTTTTAATGATGGTCTAAATGAATGAAAGCAACAGCTTTAAAAAAAAAAGGGGAACAATTTGGACAATGTAGTCAGTTCTTGGATTTTTCCAAATATCCTAACTGAAAGTTATGTTATTATTATTATTATTATTATTATTATTATTATTATTATTATTATTATTATTATTATTATTATTATTATTATTATTTGACATTTTTCATGATTTCCATAAACAATATGATAAATATCCTTTCTTGCAGCCTTTTAAAGATTATAAGCTTTACAACAAGGAGAAATTGATTCATCATAGGGTCTCATCATTCCTGGATGATATATCTGCTTTCTCTTTTAGGTTGGAATGAAATTACAGCATACTTTAAAATTATACAGTTTATATATTAAGGTTAAAATATACTCATTAAAAACCTGCTTCAATAAGTTTGTGGAAAGAAAAGAGAATTTGACTTTGGCTCCGCTTTGCTCTGTGTGAAGACATTTTAACAACAAAAATAAATGTATATTCATGCATTTTTATATACATGGACTGTTCTTCCTGCTGCCCTCTGAAAAGAGGCTTCACAGCATCCAAACAGATCATTATCTCTTAAATGGCACCATTTATAAGATGGAAAAACATCTCACTGAATCATGTAGTGGGTGTAATACTTATCAATCACACATGTTTATTTACAGCAGTAAGTATAAATTTAAAAATAAATATTTAAGCTCAACTATGAGCTTTACTGAAGAGCTGACGTTTGAAGATAGCGCTGCAAAGTTGAATAATGAAGTTGGGAAAAGAAAAAAAATGGTCACAAGAGAAGAATTTAAGAAGTATGACATTAATATTAGAATCCACGAGATGGCAGTAACGTAACATGCACTGTATGCAAGCTGCGCTTAAAAACCAAAGAAGAAGAATCGCTCTTATTTTGAAAGACTCAACCGGATACTGATTTACTGCTCAAAACAATCTCATATTTTAGAGAAAAGGGAAATTTAATTTAAAGCCAATACCTTCGTCCTGAAGCATTAGGTTGATGTGTAGCATATAAAGGAATTTGGGTCAACAGCAGTCATTTTAAGCTCAGAAATGAGCGTCACTCTGGATATTAAACTAAAAAGAGCCAATAAAGTCTATCATGAGGGGGTAAGTGACTCAGTCAACTCCTGACAACAACCAACATGTCTGTGTTCAGCTAATTTGCGCTCTGGTGTTTTTATTTTCTACCTAAATGTAGGTAAAAAGCAGTGTAAGAAAACTTAGCTTATTGCTTTAGCAACAAGCTAACTCAGTCACATGACCACCAGCTACTCTGCGATCCGATGTTTGTTACCTTAACGAGACCAGAAACATCAGTTTATCTTATCAGTGTTCATCCAGGAAGACAGCTCTTTGTGTTATACGGTTTAATATATATATTGGTTAAAAGAGCTGCAGCTGATATGATTGTTGGTGTTTTTTGTTATCAAGACTGGTTATGGTCTTTTTAACCAAAATAAATGGACTGATCAGAGCCTGCACTAGATTATGCTAAACTAACACTATGCTGAAACATTTCAATTCAGTTTATTTATATAACAACAGTGAACTAAATCATACAGTCAATTGATTCGAAGTTTTCTGTCTAAGGAAAACCAGATGATTGCATCCACTCAATCCCTCACACTAAGCATGCTTGTAGCGACAGTGGAGAGGAAAAACTCCCTTTTAACAGGAAGAAACCTCCAGCAGAACCAGGCTCAGTGTGAGCGGCCATCTGCCGAGGCCGACTGGGGTTCAAGGAGACAGAAGTAGACGTACAGAAATAAGCAGAGATACAACAGGAAACTGTAAACCAGCTCCACAGGCAGCCCCGTCCAGTAGACACACAGCCAGGCAGATGAGCTCTGAGCAAGCTCCCATGTCAGAGGATGAAAGAGAGCACATCCAGCTAGTCACAGTCAGAGAAACAGGACTACACTGAAAAACACAGATTTTAATGCAGAAACGGCCTAAATCAAACCCAGGTTAATCTCTGAAGTGTCTCTACCATTGAATCGTGTTTGTTATACTGTTATTATCAATCCATCCATTTTCTGATACGCTTAATCCCATGTGGGGTCACAAGGGGTGCTGGTGCCTATCTCCAGCTGTCTACGGGCGAGAGGCGGGTTACACCCTGGACAGGTCGCCAGTCCATCGCAGGGCAACACAGAGCCAAACAACCATGCACGCACACACTCACACCTAAGGAGAATTTAGAGAAGCCAACTAACCTAACAGTCATGTTTTTGGACTGTGGGAGGAAGCCGGAGTACCCAGAGAGCACCCATGCTTGCTCAGGGAGAACATGCAAACTCCATGCAGAAAGAGCCCGGGCCACTGCGCCACTGAGCAGCCCACTGTTATTACTGTAGTTATTTTAAGCCCATCTGATGAGTTATAACGACCCCAAAACAAGAGGAAAAAATCTTCTTCACTGAACAAAACCCATCCAAACCCAGCCACTCTACTCAACTATAAGCTTTATTAAAAACGTAGATTTTTTTTATCATTTTGTATACACTAGTGTATACAAAAAAAAGAAAGATTGAGAGTGAAGCGTTCTGTTGGGAACATAAGGATCAATCTGATCTCTGATATAAGATGGGGTTATTTAGAGCTTTTTATGCGAGTAGGAGGATTTTATATTCTATCCTGGATTTGATAATTCAATCAACCATTAAATGTTTTTGTGACTGTTGGGATAGGGAGGTTTAGATGACATGTTTTCTTTAGACATTTTCTGATGTAAACATGCCTGCCTTATTTAAAGAAATGAGACTATGATGATGTTTTATACTTTCTGATTCAGGGTTCCCAGACCTCATTTTCAATCGAGCACACACAACAAATCTGCTTCAGTTACTTGATTTTTTTCAGGGATTTGTAGGGACATCAGGGTAGTTTTCTTGTAAGTTTTTTGGGGTTTCTTTTCTCTTGTTGGCCTTTTTTTCCCTCCAAACTGAATTAATGTGCAAGAGTCTGAACCTCTGTGGTTTTATCCGTCTGCTGTTTCCAAGGAAACGGTGGCTGGCGTCATCCTGCTGTCTTGCAAAGAGGCGATCCAGCACCACGGCATCTCTCTCAGCATGGAGGGCATCGTCAACCTGCAGCTCAGCTCCAAGAGTGTCGGCGTCTTCGAAGCCTTCTACAACTCCGTCAAGGTTGGCCGCTACTGACTGAAGGCTTACTGTGTACTGTGAGGATAAACACTATGAATCAATGCTTTCCCACTGTTGCTTTCATGACTTAGGAATGCTTTGTTTGTATATTTAATGGGAATACAATATTCAAAAACTTTATAAAATATTTCTTGGGGTCAAGCATTCAAGTTAGGCTTTTTAAAAGCAACTAGAAACCTCAGATGTGGTTCTAAAGCAGACTTTTTAAATGCAACCCCAGTTGATTAAATGAGGCTTTGACATCACATTTGTGCCGCCCACCAGTTAGCAAAACAGACAAGAGCTGGGGTAACGGTGCGCAGCAGAGAAACTGCAAGACGATTGTTTTTAAACACAGATAAAACTTTATTCAGGCCTCATTTAAACAAATCCTTTGGATCTGGGGTCTCAAGATTTTAAAATGCTGGAGGTTAGCAAGCTTGTAATGACCTGCATTCTGGTGGAAATAAAATGAGCTCAGAGCCAGATTTTAAGAGGATAAAAGAGGGAGTGTGGAGGCTAAAAGTTCAGCAAATAACTATTTCAAGGAGAGAGACAGAAATCACCATTTCTACTATTATGTGTTTGCAGCCCATCCAGCTAATTAGCAGCAACGTCGAGGTGGCCAAGGCAGGGAAAATCCCAGGAGGGAAGACGGAGATCCCCTTCGAGTTTCCCCTAAACACAAAAGGCAACAAAGTGCTGTATGAGACCTACCATGGCGTCTTTGTTAACATCCAGGTAAAGCTGAAAGGTGGCAGTGGCGGTTCTACACCAGATTTAATACGGACCGTGTGTTTTCATGGGGGTACAGAAAAAGAATTAAACGAAAAACAGGGCAAAGGTTCATAATTTAACGAAGAACCACTCTGCAATGTATGGAGTCAAATTTCCACGTAGTTTAGTTTAATTAAAATTTATGTTATTCCATTTTAAAATTTGTATTTTTGGTTTGAAAGTATTATAGATTAAAAATTAATTTTACTTGATCTAAAATGAAAAATGGCTCGCCATGAAAAAAAAACAACCAAAATAATTAGTTTCTAAATTAATATCCACTTTACAATTTTAGGTCAATATGTATTCATAATTCAGCAAATATTACATATTTTTTACTTATTTAAAATGAAAATGAACAGTTTTAATCGAATCAGAATTAGAACAGAATAAAAACGGAGAAATTTAGCTGTTGAAATTTGATTATTTGAAATTACATTTGGCAGTTTTACGACTGATATCTTAATTTTTAAATAACATTTAAAAGGACCAGTTCTACAGGTGCTCTTGCCCTGTATTGGCCCCCTTGTCTAGAATGGTCCATGCTTTGTGGTTCTGCTAAAAGGAGTAAATTAGGAATCAGAAATAGATCAGATCAGTTCTCCAGGTTTTGGACTATTTTCCAGATGCTTTTGTCAGCTAAGCCAATTAAACTCTAGCAATGATTTAGAAATGAAAAGAAAGGAGAGGTGTCTGGCTGCAGAGCTGCACTGTGAGGTCTCCTGCACTGTTTATTCAAAGACTTTCAAAGTAAAAGCTAGCTTCCTTTCACAAACAAGTGTTAAGCTGGAAACGAGTGTACACGCACAATTTTACTCCCCACCAAACTCCTATCTAGAGTAATAGATATGTGCTACATAGAAATAAGTCTCTGTATTTGGATCGTTGGATGGGAAAGGGCATTTGGTCTATAAGACATTTTCTAAACCACAATAGAGGTTGGCTGCCATATGAGGATTTTTGCTTACTGTATTTAAACTGCTCCTCTGCTCAGTTTAACACTGTCATAAACTCTATTATGAGAGCAAACATGTGCTGCGTGCTATTCCTGAAGGCTTTGAATACAACTTCTGGAATAACCTTCCGGTACTGACAGTGCAGGATACCCCATTTTGCAGGTCTGCAACGAAAGGTCCTGACGGTGCAGGTCTGCAGCCAGACTCTCTTTAAACATATTATCTACCTGAAAGTGTGACAATGTAAGATTCTGGAGTGCTGCATCTCTGCATGTTTCCTATTCAGTACACCCTCCGCTGTGACCTGAAGCGCCCCCTGCTGGCCAAAGACCTGAGTAGGAACTGTGAGTTCATCGTTCACTGTCAGGTAGGTCAGCACATCATCTGCTGCTTCTGTTCATTTAAATGTTTATTTACCTTTACTTTTCTTATCAGCCGCAGAAGGCCAAAGTTGTCCCAACCCCGGTGAAGTTCACCATAACCCCCGATACTTTGCAGAACATCCGCGAGGTGAGGGCATCCCCCACCCCCCACAGTCCTTAGAAATGTGGAAATATTTACGTTGGATGAAAACTGCTGCAAATCACAAGTGGATTTTTATTTATTTTTTCTCCTTAGAGGAGTCTGCTGCCAAAGTTTCTGATCAGAGGACATTTAGACGCCACCAGCTGTGTGATCAGCCAGCCCCTGACTGGAGAGGTGGTGGTGGAGAAGTCAGAGGTCCCCGTCAAGAGCATTGAACTGCAGCTAGTTCGAGTGGAAACCTGCGGTGAGTGTCCCTCCTTTCGTAGCCGCTCTGATCCCAGTAGCCCAGCTGCAGGTTAACAGTTTGTGCGTTCAGGCTGTGCTGAGGGATACGCCCGAGACGCCACCGAGATCCAAAACATCCAGATAGCAGAAGGAGACGTCTGCCACGGCCTCCCAATCCCCATCTACATGGTCTTCCCCAGACTGTTCACCTGTCCCACCCTGGAGACCACCAACTTCAAAGTTGGTCAGTGAAACCTGTCAGAGGACTCGGCCCTCTTTGATAGTACGAGTCATAAGCACTGGAAAAATAACCTGATACATTTCTTCCCCCCCTCAGAATTTGAAATCAACATAGTCATTGTCCTTCATGATGATCACCTTATCACAGAGAACTTCCCTCTGAAGCTCTGCAGAGTCTGAACCACTCTGCAGCTTCCGGTGACGACGTTTGGATCCTCAGAGGATCAAATCAGCTCCTGGGAGGAATGAAGTCAATCCTCCAAAAACTGGAAGGCATCGGTGGAATGATAGAATGTATTTAACGATCAGTTCTAATCTGACTGAATGCCTGTATGTAAAATTATTAAGATAAAGTAATGTAAACCAGAAACGGAGCCAGAGCTGTACACTGTATAAAGTGATTCCCAATATTAACATGGATATATTTCTACACGAAATGAATCTCATGTCATTACATGTTTTTCCTTAATTTTGTGCAGCAGTTCTATTAAGAATCTGATCCTGCAGGTTTATGGATCATCTTGAATGATGCTGGTTCTGATTCTAAAAGCAGAATCAGCCTCTTGGATTCAAAGGAGTTTGGAAGGTTACCATTTGTGGGAATTTTTTTGTAACTTTCAATTAAATTAAATCCAAACTAGTTTGTTTTTTTTTGTTTTTTTGTTCCTCCATTCAAATACCAAAATATGTTGGTCCAGAGCCATGTTTTTACACATACATCTGAAAATCCTTAGATTCAAACAAATAGGCATATTTCAGAGAACCATGGGACATGGGGATGGTGTCTCTGTGTTTAACCTGAAGAGAATGCCAAAAACCTTCCAGAAACAAAAGCAGGATTTCAACATGCAGTAAATTGTCAAAATAGGTACATATAGAGCACTACAGTACAACAGTATTAGGCCCAGGCTAGAGAATTATTTGTAAAATTATGAGAATTAAGTCAGAAAATTATGAGAATAAAGTGAAATTATGAGATTAAAGTTAAGAGAATAGTCAAAATTATGAGACTAAAGTTAATGAGAATAAAGTCAAAATAATTTCCGCTTTTGCCAACATTGGATTTCAAGATTTTCAGAGGTCACAAATATTTAAACCATGAGTGGAAGAGCCTAATGGTTACAAAAGGTTTAAACTGGCATCGTTGAATATATCCATCCATCATCTAACACGCTTGTCCCGAGTGGGCTCACGCCAATCTCCAGCAGTCAATGGGCGAGAGACACCCTGGACAGGTTCACACATACTCTCACACCTAAGGAGAATTTAGACAAGTCAATTAACCACACAGTCATGTTTTTGGACTGTGGGAGGAAGCCAGAGTACCCGGAGAGAACCCACGCATGCTCAGGGAGAACATGCAAACTCCATGCAGAAAGAGCCCAGACCGGGAATCGAACCTTCTTGCTGCAAGGCAGTAGTGCTACCCACTGCACCACTGAGCAGCCATTGATTGGGTTTACACCTGTACATTAAGGTGGAAAAAAATGTTAACAGCTTCATAAATTAGGATGCACAAAGAAAAATCTAATTACAGAGAATGGTGCGAAACAGTAGTAATGGTCTGTTCATCAGTAAGCAATAGATACTGTTACAACTGAAACCAGTGGCCTGCTCAGATTCTGATCATTACATTGTTTAATCTAACCAAACTTTTTTTAACCAACTAGATTGATTGGTTTTACACACAATCTATTCGTAGAATCCATCCAAACTATCAAACTGACCTCATCTCTCCTACAAACTCCCACATCTCGATGTGAAAAAGAGGCTGTTTAAATGCCTGTCGAAGTTCGTGGGCAAGCTGAACCACTTCCTGAAGCGGTCACTTGGTATGGCGTGGTAGCGAGGCTTCGTACATCATTGATTTTGGCCCCTCCTCTAAATGAGGCAAACCTCAAAAGGCGCTTTGCGGAAATGCCCCCTCCACTACTCGACATGCCCCAAAGCCTTGGCTCATCTCATCACATCACTACAAAACAGAAATATTCAGTGTGCGGCTGTTCTCTGGATACAAATGCCTTGTTCATGATAGAGGTCAAGAGAATGGCCAGGTTGGTAGAAAGGAAACAATAACTCAACCACTCGCTACAACCAAGGTATTCAGAAGAGCATCTCTGAATTTAAAACATAAAACCTTGAGGATGGGCTACTGCAGCAGAAACTTCTAGATATTACCCTGCTCCAAGCAATCTGATGATTGTAGAGAACCTGTAAACCAAGGATGTCAAACTGCTTCCAGAAAGGGCCGTGTGGTTGCAGGTTTTCTTTCCAAAACAATGGGCCACCAGACTCCAGTCATCTCATCAAGTGAGTCCAGTCTTAACATGATGACTTGATGAGATGAATGGAGTCTGGTGTGCCATCGCTTGGTTGCAAAGAAAGCCTGCAGCCACACGGCCCTTTCTGGAAGCAGTTTGACACCTGTGCTCTAAACCAAGGATGGGATTCAGCCATGTGATTCCGTTGTGCTGGATCATAGGTACTGTCCCTGAGGGGCTAGAGTTGTTCATTTCTGCTGTATAAGATCCTCTACAAAGTTCCCAGTCTGATCTCTTCTGGAATTTCAGGTTTGTAGGAGAAAAATATTTTAGAGCTGGACACATGAACACACAAAAGATGAGCTCCAACACAAAGGTGTTTATTTCCTCAGGTTAGCAAACAATCCTTAAAAGCAGGAAACAACAAGCAATCAAACAAACTAAAACACATAACAAATTTGGAGTTTAAAGAACTTAATTTAAAAATAAGAATAAAAGCAGAAATGATGGCGGTGAAGAGTGGGGGTAGAGGGACTGAGACATCAGGGAGCTTTGCGTCTCCTGCTGGACAGAACGGGGAACTCGTCAGGTATCAGTGCGTGGTTCCTGCAGGTGGGACAGGTGTTCTTCTCCTTCAGCCATGACCTGATGCACTGAAAGCAAACAGAACCAGACCTTAGAACCAGAAAGCTCTGCGGCGTAGATGTGTCTTCAGAGCGGCTCTCACCTCATCGTGGAACGTGTGTCTGCACTCCAGCACGCACGAGTCCTCCTGACTCATGTCTTCGTGGCAGATGATGCACGGGTCCTCCATGTTGAGCTGCAATCAAAGCTCAAAGTCAGACAGTTCTCACCCTGGAAGGCCATCAATGAATCCATAGAACACCCGATTAAGAATATTAGTTGGCTGAAGCAGGAGCATTGGTTTTAAGAGAAGAAAATAAGTAATAAATTAGACAAAGTTATTTACCAGATGTTAATTCTGGCTTTAAAAGCTTTTCAGGTAATTGTTTTTGTGGTAAATTTCCTTATAATCATGCCTATTTTAAATTCTATTAAGGTCTGATAGCAAATAAATGTTTTTAAAATTCCCCACTGTTGTTATCCAGCTTTAATACTGAATCGAGATATTTTGAGGCCTATGGCAGGAATTATGCTATGTCCCATCTGTGCTGTTGGAATGTCGGCTGCAGACCCAAATATTTTGGAATGATTCATTCCTGAAACACTTCATATACGATTCCATCCAAAGCAGAACCGCTTCCACTGCTCTGATGATGGTAAATCTTTTAGAGAAGGAAAATTCTTGAATTTATATAAAATAAAACGGAGTCCTGAATGAAATCAGACACTTTGGATCAGGAAGTGTTTTATGAGTTAGGAGAACTTAATGGATCAATTTAATCGACTGTCCTGGACTTACAGCGCTGGGGTTTTTGACTGCTTTGGCTCCGACCGACTGCCACGCTGTATGCTGGGTTAGGGCTGGACTGGATCGACCCATGATGTTGGTTCTGACAGATTTCAGTGTTTCCTGAAAAAAAAAAAAAAAAAAGTCTGCTTAGGTCTGCTTTTGATCAACTCCATTCTCTTAATTTAAAGAATTTTATCTACCTGATGATCGAGGATGATTTGTGTCACTCCGCTGACGACCTCCTGTAACGACACGCTGTTCAGGTTCCCGCCCCTAGACGAACGAAACTCCTGAATGAACCTCATCAGTTCAGACCTGAAGAAAAACAGGAAATCGAATCCATCCTTTAGACCAACAGGATCCTGCTGCTCTGTTTAAAACACAGCCGTTTGCATGACCAGCTCTTTACCTTGAAGAGTCTGGGAAAATGGCAGTCAAGTTCTCCATGGCTTTCTCAAACACAGGTCTGTGCAGCTTGTAAGGAGAAGTGGCCGACGCTTCGGCTGCAGAGCGAGGAGAAGCACTGCGGGCGGTCTGAGCTGACATCAGAGGGTGAAACTCTTTGGCTGTTGCAGAGAGCTGCAACAGCCAAACAGAAAAAGAGAAACACCTAAGGTCTCTGCATTCTAGCAAATCATCTTAGAGATGCACAGATCAGGCTTTCAGTTAGAAAAGAATTGACCCTGATTAGTTAGAAATCTTAACGTGGTTTTAGTTTAAGGACCTGATGGCTCAAGTTCTGCACTTGAAAAGTGTGCATGAGTACTCTGGATGAAAAGAAATAAATGTTCTAGTAACAGACTTGTTTTTTTTTGAGAAAAAAAAGCCTGTTCTAAAGTGATAAAGCCTGTTCTAAAGTTCTAAAGCCTGTTCTAAAGTGAAGTCTAGACTGGTCTTACTGGTAATGTTACAGCCTGAGGTTTGTCTTTGGCCAGAGGCGGCTGACTGGCCGCTCTGTCTTTATTCAGCTCATCCTGCTGCTCCTGGAATCGTTGCTGTGGACAGAAATAGAACAGTTTCAGTCATGTTACTATAAAAATATTAAAATGAATGCTTGCATATTTTTCTCCATTTGATTCAGTCACACATTTTCAATTGAGATGCAAAGAATGTTAAATATTTCAAGTTTATTTTTTGTTCACAGTAAAGGTTAAACCCAATGGCACCTGAGCAGTGGAGATGTTCTTCTCCACTTCTTCCATCTTTGCTTTGCAGCTGTCCCTCATCATTTCCAGCTCCTGGCTCGAGTTTCTGGGGGAAAAAAAGAAAGAAAACTTCTTATTACCTTTTTGGTTTGGCAGGAAACAAAAATAGCAGAGATAATCAAATACATTTTTTATGGAGTTCCACATCTTTTGACCAGCCTTTCACTGCCAACAAAGGCAACAGAAAACAGGTGCCAAAATGACCACAGATGGCGCTGTTGTTAAGTTTTGACTCTTCCTAAAGTATAATACAGTTTTCACTTGATTCTAGAGATGTCCCGATCCAGGTTTTTACATTTCCGATCCGATACCGATATTGTTTTTGGACTTCCGATCCGATACCGATACTGGCCGATACCAGCCTATCCGAGCATGTATTTAAGTATTTAAGTTTAAGTTAAAGTATTTAGCCTTAGTTGTAAGACTCATGTTGAAAAGGGTTTTAGTACTCTTGATAACATCTAGCCAGCTGAATTAGGTGAGATTGAATAAAACACAATGATTGGTAACAACAAACTTACCTGTTTATTAAGAGATAAACACAAACTGGAAAAAAATTATGAATAGCAATCTGAAATTGCACAGTGAACAGTAAAACCGTAAACAGTTAAAGGTGCAAGTATTACTGTAAGTTTTATAAAAAATGCAAAACAGACAAGAGTGGAAAATATTCTATTAACTTAGAATCAGGACTCTACTCTTAAAAAAAGACACTGCTTAAAAAAAATCAGTGCAAATAATAGTTACACAAAAATGCCTTATACTCCCCAATGTCCTCCACACCTAGTCTCCATCTACACATCGTGCAGGATAAAATAATCCCACACGGCTGACATTTTCCCCGCTATCTTCCAATTCACCTGTTTTAATGGTTAGGCCGGGAGACAGACCCAAAAAGACCTGTGGGTGTTTTGAAGGTGTTCTTGAAAATACGGACCGGATTCGGGGAACACTGGCGCCAAATAGTGGAATGGATTGTTTCAATCGGCGAAACTGGAAAATACGGACCGGATTTTTTTTTAAAAACTGTATCGGCAGTCTGGATCGGCATTTTTGCATGCTTTGCCGATACGCATTTTTTTGCCAATATCGGCGTCCGATCCGATACGTGGATCGGATCGGGACAAGCCTACTTGATTCCACAGGAATCTGGATTCAACGTCCCAATTTTATTCATGACGAATCAAACCAAGATCCAGCAACTATAAGGTAAAGGAACACTTCGAATAATAAACTTAGTTTGCAATATAAAGTTAAAATTCTCACACAAAATAGGCACATTTTTTAAAATCGCATTTAATTCAAAATTCTGCTAACAGTATACACAGAATTCTTAATTTTAATAAGTTTTAATAGCATGACAGTGCTATTAAATGTGCATTGAAGGGATTTTAACATTTAAAACAAGTGCTTTTCTCAAGACCCTATTCTTTAAAGACATTCTAGAACTGCATTATCCATAAATTAAAATGCTAAAGCTTTCGCTTTAGGTCAATTGTGCTGAACAAGCTAGCATTGTAACCAGAAGTACTTAAATCTCTCATACTGTGAGCTGCAGGTGATTGGCTGCTCTGTGGAGTCTTGTTAGTTCAGTATGAATCCTCTTTCCTGGCCAATAGTATATTCCCACCGAGCAGCGCAGTGAGACACAGCGCACACGGTTGTAAAGTTTTGCTTCGAGCGACTCGAGTATAGAGGCCAGTTTAGTTGCAGAATATAAGGTCTATGGTTGGAGTGTAGACTGAATAAGTCATGCTTTCTACCTTTAAGTTTGAACACTCACTTTTGCACACTGACTGCTGTCTAAGGTCCTTCCCACACATAAAAATGACACAACATAGGCGAAGTTATTTTAAATTAAAACCACAGCTGGGCAGTCATTAAAAAGAAATTAGATCACGTTTATTATGTGCTTAATACTATATAATGGCCTTAACTTTTGCTGATTCATTTAATACCTACTAGAACCCTGTGGAGGCACGGAATAATAAACCTTTTAACCCTTCGAATACACCTCCCCTCTCAGCTTCCGTTAATCTTTGTAATCATTGTTTAAATTCTTCACTAACAAAAGGGACCCATCACTTTGCTGGATTTGGATCTCCTGGAAATGCCTCTATATAAAGCCAGTTTGAGCTAGTCTCCTTGTCTCAGCTGTCGATTGTAATTAAAACTGCGTCCGATAAATTGTCGAATTGTCGTCCGATAAAATGTGGTCCTGAATCCGATACGAATCTGATCTTTTCAAATGAGACCTGTGTCTGAACAGCCAGGTCAGATTAATCCGACCTGAATGTCATTAATACCTGATCACTATTGACTATAAGGTCACTATTCTGCATCTTGCTACGCAGAAGCGGCAAGAAAAACAACAACCATGGCAGATGACGATGCGGAGAGCAGTATTTATGTTTAACCATATTTAAAAGATTGTTTTTATGGTTGGAAAAGACCGCTAGATGCGCGCCGGCACTACCATCCATGTTTATTTCCGGAAAAAAAAAAAAGAACATGCTAGCCTGTGACGTTATTGCGTCCTCTATTGCGCATGCGGGACACTTCCGTTGCATGAATGCAGTTCACACAGGAGATCACATACAAGTCGCATATATGTAAATATGAACGGCAATGGAAAAAAAAAATTGGAATTGAGCATCAAGGCCTGCAGTGTGAACGTAGCCAAAGACGTCTTCTTCACAACTGGTCCATGTAGTCTTTCCTACCTAATAAACACTTGTTTTCTGGCTCGACGCGTCCCAGCTGCCCTCAAACATGCCGTGCTACACCTAACTTATTAGAATCAGAGAACCAGCATTTGCCGTTTTTGGACCCAATATGTGCCAAAGGTTTGGATAATTTTAAATCACTCTTTAATGCTCATTATATTAATTTACATTTTAATAAGGTCTGAGTCTGTAAACTACCCATCCTATTTTTTCTTATCCCAAATGTACTGAATGCACATTTGAATTTATTAAAACTGTACAGCACTATGGTGCAGTTACCAGCTTTTTAAAAAGTGCTACATCTATAATTGACATTGAATAATGATCTATGACTCTAATGACCTAATATTTAGATTGAGGAACTTCAGGCTTCTTAACATTATCACTATTGAGCTTCTGATGCAACAAATGCAAAGAAAAACGCATGCAGCTTTTCTCCATGTTAACATAGCTAGATTTTCCCCTGCTGCAGGGAGATTCTGTTAGCACAGCTTAAAGCCCTTTGAGGCCTAAAGCTGCTGTCTGTCAGCCTCCCACCCTGACCTGTGATCTCCCCCTTCTCACCTGTGCGCTGCCTCGTCCAGTTTGTTCAGCAGAGCTTTGGCGTCTGCCAGCTCTCTGTAGAGGCCGTATAAACCCTGATCCCTGCTGCTTTCAATTACCGACAGCTGGACAGAACCAAAAAAGCAGATATATGATTAGTTAAACATGTAGATGGGTCAATGTTCCAACCCTATTCTGCACCTTCTTTAAATTACCCCCTCCCCACTGGAAGGAGTTAGGTCTTGTCAGGTTACCTTAGCAATGTGGGACCTTCTGGTAGAAGAAGCTAGCAAAGCCTTGCAGCGCTTTATCTCATCCTCCAAACTCATCTTCTCAGCTGCTGACTGATTGCTGAGGGAAGCAAAGGCAATCAGTGAGAAATTCAGCCAAGATTTCAAGAAACCCTGGGTTTCTGCTGCCGCTCACCTCAGCTCCAAGAAGTCATTGAGTTTGGCTTCATAGCTGCTCCTCTTCTCTCTGATGTTCCTGGAGAGGCTGCATGTGGATGAAAATGTCAAACAGTCAAACTGAAACAACAGCAATAAACACCAAGCAGAAACAAAGCTTAAAGGCTACTACATTCAATTTAACTTGACTTTAATAAGTCTGGGCGATATCTAAGAGCTTCAGAGGTTGACATTTTGGAACCCTGCTTACCTGCCCTGTTCCTCCACCAGCTGCTCCAGCTCCATCTTCAGGGACTTCAGCTCCTCCTGGTTGGCCTTCTTCTCCTTCTGGTCCTTCTTCACCTCCTCCTCCAGCTTTTGTTGAAACATTACCAGCTCCTTATTGGTCACCTAAAACCAAAACAAAACTTAATTCACTCAGAAACGGCCAAAATCTTGCAGTTACAGTGTGAATGCTTCAGACCAACCTGTATTGCAAAAAAACAACAACAATCCACTGGACTTTGTTTCCAAGCTTAAAGATGTTTCACCTCCCATCAAGGAAGCTTTTTCCAATTCAAAATGTCAGAATCAGCGTTGAGCTCGAAGCCTTATGTTTGAAGGTGCCCAGGCCAATAATTGCCCCTAATGACCCCCCTTTCTGAGGTATAGACCTGTATTGGGCATTGCAGGCTAACAAAGAACCCAAACCACTGCCCATTACTAAGGGGCGAACCCGTTTTTGTTCAATTTGAATGTTTTCCAAGCCAAAACAAGTTTCTGGTCCACTCAAAGCCTCAAACTCAACGCTAATTCTGACATTTTGTATTGAAAAAGCTTCCTGGATGGGAAGAGAAATGTCTCCAAACTTGGAAACAAAGTCCAGTGTTTTTTTTTTTTTTTTTTTTTACTTTTTTTGGAATGACTGACCTGGATGACAGAGAATCTTCACTGACCTACCTGTATATTTAGAGTGTTGTCATTTATTAGTTTTTCCAATAAAATGATTTCTCTATTGTTGCTTGGATCAGGTTTTTCACAGTTTTCAGTTATCTTTATTTGCTCCTCCAGCTCCTTGTTCTTCTTCTCCTGCTTGATGATATCACCCTGAAAACAAAAAAAAAAGGTAAATGAAGCTCAAAGAGAAGTTTTTTTTTTTTTTTTTTTATACCACAACATCCTGTGCCAAGCTAACCTTTCTACAAATCAAGATCCTACATCACATCCACTGCTCCAAACCATTACTGGCTGAAATCCTAACACAGATGCAAGCCGCAACAGGTGTCAAAACACTCCTGCAGATTTAACACACATGTTTCAGTCATGTCCATCCCTAGCATTATATGGGTCTAAACTCTTTAAAACCTTGTCAGAAGCATTGAACCCATATTTGGCACCACAGATAGAAGAAATGCAACATTAAGGAAAAGCTATAAAAACATAATTCCTTTAAGAGGCACTGCTTCTACATAGAAGAATATTATTGCACTGAAAAACAATAAATCCACCAAAAGTGTCTTTGTGGTTTAGCAATATAATCCATACAATTAGAGAAAATTAAATATACTCTCAGGGGGTCCAGGGACAAATTCTTCTCCATCTGGAATGCCATGTTGAGGCACTTAGGTAAACTTAAAACGGTTCCCACTTAATGCAGTCATCTTGCTTTATGTTATTATGATTGAATCCATGGGAACATTGTCTTGTGTAGTGCACAGCCACAATGCTTGTGAGCCGAGGTATGTGTGTGTGTCTCTCTCTCTATATATATATATATATATATATATATATATATATATATATATATATATATATAAAAATGTTAGTCTAGGCAACAGGACGTGAAGTTTTTTTACATGACGTTTCGCCTCATCCAAGAGGCTTCTTCACCAGGAAACCAGGTTAATAGGTTTTTTCAAGTTTGTTAAAATATGAGTATTTTGTCTCTTGTATTTGAAATGATATAATATAGTACTGATTCTGAATAAAAAGAATATAAAACAAAAAAGAGAAGCTGCTTTTTTAAAAACTAAATATCCATTCAGGATAATACTGTCCATCACTATGGAAAAGTTAACTTTTTCACCAATTTAACAGCATCTCTCCGGATACCTTGAAAAAATGATGGTGACCTCAGACACATGAGACTGTGCCTTGCAAAAGGATTTATGCTCAACATTTTTTTCCACATTTAGTTAATTAAAACCTCCAATTTCTTTAAGCCAGGATCTCCACATATAGTTCATTATTGAAAGGTGCAAAGAAGTAGAAGTCGTCATTATATAAAGACAATTACATGATTAGGAAGCATTTTAAAAAAAATATAATTTCTACAGAAGAAAGCTTTCCTATTCCATGGTTTGTCTAAAGTACTAGAACAGAACAAAAAACAAAAACAGTGAAGCTTGAGGCTCTAAGAAGACAAAGGATGGAGAGAGATGGAAATACGAGTGATAAAAAGCTACAGGGGTATTACTATATGCATAGAGTGGAGATTTTCTGAGGACGTTGATGTAGAAAATATATCAAAGACACAAAAACACCGCCAGCTGCTGCATTGAAGTGGGATTATAAACTGGGAATATTCATAAGACATTATTTTAGTGAGACATGCTGTATTTCAGCCATTATTGCTTCCATCCACCTTTACTCACCTGGCATTTCTCAAAATGCTCATAAAGCTCTGTGTTCACCACCACACTTCTACACGCTTCCGGACACGTCTATCAGATCCAAAACAAAAAGATCAAAAATGAAATGCATTCGACACATTTATTAGGGATTCATTTAAAGCCTGAACGTTGGCATTTACCTGCACTGAAGCATGTTTACTGGAGCAATTTTCATCCGGGGACAAAATATTTCTCTGTGAAGCTGAATTCGTTTCGGGGTTTTCATAAATTTCATCCAGAACATCCAGATGAGGCTCTGTGAAACCATTGGTTAAAAAGTGAGGGGATGGGTCAAAGTCTGAGACAGGCCAGGGGGACACGGAGGAGCTATATGAATACGGGTTTGGGAGAACTAAATGTGATGCTTGGGGTATGGGGGAATAACCCTTTGAAAAGTCTGTAAAATCACTAGCTGTATACAAGTCAGGTGATAAAGAGTCACAGTGAGAATCAACTATTTCGTCCAGGTCGTCCAGGCTGGGGCCGTGTCTGGCCTGCTGCATGGAGACGGCGTGTTTGGCCAGACCGATGCACCTTCCCAGCTTAATGAAGCGGAGGGACTCCAACAGGAAGAACTCCAGGCCGCCCGCATCATCAATCCTCTTTCTGACATCGTAGGGGAAGTTTGCATAACCGCCCACAAGCAAGTGGTCATCGACCGCCAGGGGGCCGTGCTCCTCCAGGATCTGAGCAAAGTAGCTGCAGAAGAATTGGAACAGCTGAGATTAAAACGCAGATTAAAAAGCTGAAGGTTTCAGAACACATATTTATTAATTTAAATCACTGGAGATACATCAGGGTTCCTACAGCATAAAGCAAGTTAAATTCAAGACTTTTTAAGACTTTTTAATGCCACTTGAAATAAAAATTTAAGACCAAATTCACAAGAAACACAAGAAAAACCTGCTTGTGACAACTTAACCCAAAGGTTTATTTTAACATAAACCACTGCACTAATGTTTCAAATTTTGAAAAACTTTTCATACAGGAAGAAAGCTAAAAATACACAAATGACAGATATATTTTAACAATTATTTAACTGAATTCACAAACTTTTTTTAGCAGGGAACAAAACAAATCAGTTTTAAAGCCACAACATAACCAGTGCTAAGTCTTTTTTGCAGCTATTTTTCTTTGCATCGTTTTCTTAGTATGTTTGATTTGGTTAAAAAAGTGGAGGCGTTGCAGAGACAAGGGTGGAACAAAACTGAGAAATACCGGCTGTTTCTCAGTAACTCGATTTTGAAGCTTTGTGTTTCGCGCTTCGCATGTGACTCCACTGCCTTAATTCCCATTGTTCCGAGCTTGAATGACTTCTTGCACAAAATCCACTGTGTCTCATGTATGTTCCCTGGTTTTAGATATGGAGAAAAATCTTGGCTGGAGCCAATTTTGGTTACATTTACACTTGCTCATATTTTCCAGACAAAAAGTTAATGATGTATCTTCCAAATGTCCCGCCCGCAACAACGCTTTTATTGGTTCCGCTATCGGGACTGAACCAATAATGGTGAGCCATTATTTTTTTTTTTTATAAAAACAAAAATGTCAATTTTTCATGTTTTATTTATATTACAAAAATAAATATAAAATTATCCTATTTATGATGTTTTAAAAATCAAGACCTACAAAAGACTGATTTAAGACATTTTAATACCAATTAAGGCCTTAGTTTTATTTTTTAAGACTTTTAAAGGACCCGCAGGAACCCTGTATATTTATATGCAGCTCAACTTTTGGTCTTTAATGTTATAAAACCGGAGCATATTGTGGACAGGAGATCTGGCAGAAGTAAAGGCATTCTTTAACCATACAGATGATCTAAACAAGGTTAAATGACCACATTTCAGTTCAAGTGGAAAATATCCCAAAGAAAACTAAACAGCATCTTGTGTATAGTCATTTAAAGTAATTCTTTCTGTTGTGAGTCGTTAAGTGGCACGGCCGAGGGAAGTGGGTGCAACCCCCTAGTGGCGGGAGATTAAAAAAAAATAAATAAAAAAAAAAGTATTAAAAATACTTTGCACAATTTATACATTTCTAAATAGATATTTTGGGAAATTATTTTGACTTCTATAGTACTATTCTGTGTGGAGTTTTGGATTTTAATTTAATTATTTTGAGCACTAATCAACACAAGCTCATGGAAGTTACGTTGTCATGGCAATTTCAAGCAAGCTAGAGCTTGGTATCCATGCTCTAGCATGACTAGAAAATTTACACAGTTCAATGTAATAAAAGTTTCAATTCGTTCGCTTATGCAAGACTTTATCTCCGCGACCCCCGAGTGCACCTCAACATTTGGACACCTGTAACCAGGGCACCCTGCCTGTAGCTCAAAGAAAGAGCATGGTAGCACCGCATAGTTTCATATCTATTCGTACAGTTTAACATTACCATAGTATTTTAGAGAGTTATTTTGATCTTGTGTTCTTTGTGTAATAGAGAGCTGTTCAATAACGTTTAAATAGTATAATTATTTCCTTATGGTTTTCGTAAAAGGATTTTTGAGCTAATAGTCACGTGTGACGTAAACATAGTGACTCAGGTTCATGCCAGCTGACCAAATCTATGTTGTTTTAGTGCTTTTGTGAAGTTTAATTAATTGCGCATATATTTACGTGAGAACCGATGAGGTCTGTGTTGCAGACCCTGGTTGCTTAAAGTGAAGTGTATATGGCAAGTAGTGAATCTCAATCTATTTATTTATTTTTATTGTACTATAAATATGCCTATAGGCTCAATGGTCTTTTGTCCAAAAACTAAAAAATAAATTAATTCATTAAAATTTCAGAGTAACCCGTTCCAAAGTACTTCCAGCGGCCCTGATTTGTGGTGTGTTTGGTACTTACTCATACAAACTTTCTTTAGATGGATTTAGGTATCTGCTGTAATACTCCTCAAAATCCTCCACCTCCTCTTGAAGGAAACGTGGAACAGTGAAGGGGTCATTGGGGTGGAGGAATGATCTGTGGACATGAAGCTCAAAAGTTAGCAGCCTATAAAGCTTCTCACATCGTCGGTAGATGCTATGAAAATGCACAGATAACGGGTTTATGTCTCGGGAGATTATCAGGAAGATTAACATGTGTGACTTACAAAGAGTCATCATCAAAAAAGTCTTGGTCCCACTCCTCTCTCTGAGCTACTCCCCTCAGTGGACAGAAACCGATAACATTCTGAGTGGAAATCAGCACAAGAACATGATTAGAAATTTAAATTGATCTTAATGTCAGTAAGGTCACATCTTTGGAGACTTTACCTTCCGTTTCTTTTTCCTGCCTCGACTCTTAGCCCTCGTAGGGGAATTCTGCAATGAGATCAGAGTATATTAGCCTGTGTTAAGATGAAGGCTGTAATCTGATCAGATTTGAAGTTAAACCCAGATATACGGCAAACATTAGCAAATCTAACAATCAAGAGACGTTTTTGACACCATTCGTTTCACTTTTGTCAACAGCTATAAAATCCACACTACAGTGTGAAACTACTGTATTAATTCAGAACTAATATTAGGTTTGAGGAGAAAAACAAAAATGATAAATGTTCATCTTTTAACTGAAGTTTTTGCATTTTAGCAGCAAAAAACAGATTTAACTCCAAAAGTTCAATTCTATTGTAGAAATGTTTTGCAAATATAAAAGGAACTATATAATAAAAAATAGATACATCTTTCAAGCCATTTCTCAGGTCGATGCAGACCACACTCGCAAAGCAGGTCTCACATCTTTTACTTTAGGGTATAATTTGTGCCAGTTTTCTAATTATTGGGGCTACGAACATTTCTTCTGCTTTCAGCACTATACTGTTAGTATTTTAAACTTTTGTTGCTTTCCCAGAGTTTAATGTTACGCTACAATGTTGAAATGTTACAGCTCATCTTTTCATTTTAGGAAGAAGTTTGTTGTACATAGCTACAGCACTGACTGTACGACAAAACCGCAGGGTTTAAAAGTTCATAGCTCATGATGCATGTTCTCACACTGTAAGGCCCAACGCTCTGATACAATCTAACTCCTCACACTGTACGTCCAAAAACCACATGTTAGACTGAGCGCCGAGAGATAGCACTGGTCGGACTCGTCAATCTAGAAGAAGAACTCCCTTGTTTGCACATGCGAAGTGCATGAGGTTCTGGTACATCGACTCGTAGCTCTGCTTCAACCGCAGGATTTGTCCACAAACACCTTATGACAGCTGACTGAATTTCAAACATGTTTGATTTTCTCCCGACCTTATGATTCCTGATTGGGAGGTAGTTGTGAGCGGCTGATCGTCCCTAGTTACCCCATGGACACTACATGAAGCAGGACGTACAATGAGGCTGAAACTCGGCCCAACGAAAAGATTCTCGCACGACTGGAAAAATCATACAATGTATGCCCTGCTTTAGGAGAAATGCTCCATTGGATCCTACTACATTAAACAAGGAAAAAAAAAAAACATGAACTCTTCTTTTATCTAGTGCTGCCCAATGTGCAGTACTAGTTACTGACTACATCAATGACACAAGACTTGTTCAAATAGAATAAACACCAAATAAATCATAGCCTTAGCTGTAAAGAATCTAGGCTTAGCATGAAAGCTTGACCATACAGCCAGAGATAATCTAGTACAACCTTTAACCCCTAAAGCCGGGCATTCACTGTGTGATTTTTTTCAATCGTTGCACGCAGCTACAGCTCACACTGTTCGATGAAACCCTGCGGTTTCGTCGTGCAGTGCGAGTTCACATCTCTCAATGCATGTTCAGCCCGACGCTGTGATTCGATCTGCCTGCTCACACTGTAAGTCTAGAAAACACGTCAGACTCAGCTCCGCAGTGAGATGGAGCTTCTCTGACTCGTCTATCCGGAAGAAAAATGAGTAGAGGAAAAAACACTATGAGGAAAACAGTAAGAGGAATATGAAGCTCACTAGAGTGAAACACGCTGCCTTGGCAATTTGTGCAATTTTGTGGTGAAAGCCCTAAAAGAAAAGGCGAAGACGTATTTGGACAAAGACATGGCTGAACAAACGTGGCTACTACGGTCTGTCAATTTTACAAAAACATCTCCATTTCACCCTCACTAGCCATGCATCTGTGTTTACATCTGAGAAGAAGAAGAAAAGAAGAATCCTTTTTTTGTGCATGTGCACTGAGCGATGGTCACAAAAAAAAAAAAAACTAAAAAAAAACATGTTTGATTTTCTCCCGATCAGGAATCATGAGGTGGTCTTGAGAGGCTGATCGCCCCTCGTTACCCCCCGTACAGTAGGGCTGGGTATTTTCATGAATCGATTCGATTTTGATTAATACAGTTCTAAATCGATTAATTTCGATTTGACCTGTTTTTACAATAATGAAAGTGGTTCAACCAGGTTTCAAAATACTCATGTATTTTATTTTTTCCTGACACATTAAACACAAAGTGCAAACTTGTAAATCAGACAGTTTAAACTTCAGATCTGAACAAAACTGTCTCAAAAGTCCAAACTAGTTTGTGAAAAGTGAAAAAGTGAAGCCTCATTCGAGCAAGCAGACGTAACACAGCAGACATGGATGAGCTGCATTATCTTCACTGAACAAACCATATTTGCAGCATTGTCTGTAACAACTACAGGGTGTTTGCTGGTCAGTCCCCATTTGTTAATGTCTTCAGTTAACCTATTGGCTATATTTGCAGCTGTCTGGCTTGAAACATCTTGAGTGCATCTTTCCAACTCATTTGAATGTGAACGTCACGTGTGTCACTATAAAATGAATCAATCTCATTTCCTAGACATCAATTTTGAAAAAATGTAAAGGAATCGAATCAAAATCGATTTTTTTTACCCAGCCCTACCGTACACTACACGACGCACGACCAGGCTGAAAGTCGGCCCTATCGAAAAATCCTTGCACGACTGGAAAATTGCCCCGAAAAAGGGAAAAATATAAATAAAATAAAATCGCACAGTGTAACCTGGCTTAAGGAAAGCAACCTGGGATGCATAACTGACCTAGCTGCTGCAGTCATTTGATCAGCTAGAAGTGAAAAGCATTAGATTTCATTTTCTTTGCCAGAGCTCAGACTAACCAATGATTTAAGTCAGCCTAGGATAGTAAGCCATAAAAAAATCCAATCTCTGATGCTATTCATTTGATGTGAACAGTAGTTCTTAATGGTTCAATGGTTACTTTATTTGTCATTAGGGCAGCAGCTTTTGATTTTAAACTGAAAACATTAAACAGGTCAAAGTTAACTCTTCCCAGCAGGGATACCACTCACTGAAAATATGAAATCCTAAACCTTATGTACAGTCATGTGTCTCGGAACTGTGCAGAGAAACACTGTGCTCAACACCTTCTAAAATGAAAATAAGCCATACTCATTCTATTTTTTATTTTTTTTTTTTTAAATACTAGCGATTGTATAATACTTGTCCGACTAACTGAAGTAGAAAGTAATAGTTGAAGACATTGTTTACCGAATGTCAGTTTAAAAACCGCTAAGGTTGCATTTATCTATGAATGATGGGCCTCAGCTTGAAGCTTGAATGTGTAGGAAACTTACATGTTCATTTTCAGACTTTTTTAAGACAGAACAATGTCCATCTGAAAAACAAAACGGAGTGTTTTAAAGCAAGAGAAATGCTTGCAGACCAAAGGTTTGTCAGGTTCAACATACGTACCCATATCAAAATATTCATCCAATATAGTGTGACAAGAAACATAGCCCTCTCTATGCTCCTCCAGAGTCCAGATAAACAGCCTCATGTCATGAGCTGAAGCCTGTTTTAGATACTCAGCCACAGTCAAGCCAAGGCTTGGAAAAAATTCTGCAGTAATGTCAAGTTTCTGTAAAATAATTTCCATTAATGGGTCAAAGTTCAGCAGAATAGCCAGATCCAGCTGCTCCAGGTGTTCCAAGTGTCGGTCTATGAAAGACTGGGCTGCGTTCAGACCTGAAAGCAAAAAATAAAATCAAACTTCCATCAGACTCCAGAGAGACACATTAAATCATCCATTATTTTAACATAAACGTGTGAACGCTGACCTGCATTGTCAAGCTGGCGTGCCCAGTTGCTCAGCTTGGAATTTATACCCACACAGCTGCTAAGTAGTTTTACAAAAACTCGTGCCCAGACCCGGTTCTTTCTCTCCAGCAGGAGGTCCAACGCTTGGCCCAAAGTCTCCAGTTTTTCCTGTTGCCAGTTCAGCAGTCTGCCAGCAATTTGATTCCCCCTGGACCAGTCCAGCTCCAACCAGGGCTGCAGGCTTCCAGTCAGCACGGACACCTGGAGGCCCTGCTCCTCCCGCAGAAGATCCATGTTCTGACTGATTTGCAAGAGAACTCGATCTCTGTACACCAACCAGGCTGAAGATGAATGAATAGAAAATAAAAAGAACAGTCAGTGTTAATAAAAAAAGAAAAGGTACATGTGCAGAGGAAAAGGAATCATCAAACTATTTAACTAAACCTTTTTGTTGACTCTGTGTTCTTGATTCGTCTTTCTTCTGCAGAATCTCATTGCTGATGGTCTGATTATCCTTCGTCTGTTTGGATTCTTTCCTCTTCTGCTTCTGATCCTCCTTTGACTTTAACTTCTTTACACTAAAAAAATAACAGTACAGAATAAAATAGCAGCGTTGAACAGTGTTGCATCTAACCAAAGACTGAATGCTGCAAAGGGGGACCCCTCAAGGCTCTGTATTAAGCCTTGAACTTTATACAAGTACTGGGATTAAAGCAAAGAAAAATCCTGAGCCTGAACTTTTTATACACACATATTGTATGTATATATATATATATATATATATATATATATATATGTGTGTGTGTGTGTGTGTGTGTGTGTGTGTATTTTTAAGCCATGCCGAGGGGGTGTGGGGGCATGGGATCAGAGATTGCATGAATGATTGAAGTCTAACATTTTTTAAAATCCAATACCATCTATATCTAGTGTGAATGAAGGCTGATTTACTTTGAAATTAGGTCGTCTCCGTGTGTGTTATAGTGAACGCAGAGATGTTCCCGCCCCTTCAGCAGACACTCTGGTGCACCTCACCCAAATTATAGGTGACCGCACACAGTTCCAGACAGAAGGCCTCTGGTTTGTCAAACTTATATCTGCTTTTTTGCCCTCATGTCCCTCCGTTGTTACCCAAATTGCTCCCAGTTCCTCACCGCCTCGGCCGTATCTAGACCCACAGCTAGTTCCTGATTGTCCCTCTTGCATTGTGGCATGGAATAACAGTGCGGACCATGCATCTATATTTGGCATGAATCCAAAAATGTCTGCATCACACCTGCCAAAATCTCACAGCGACACACTGCTGCGGAATTATAACCAGGCTGCGAGAGGTCGTGTTCGGTGAGGAAAGCAAAAAACCCTTATTTTTAACTCACATACACAGTTATTGACGCTGGTAATTCAGCTGTTGCCGTAGCTCCCGGCAAACATGTAGTGTGTGGGACCGTACAAACAGCACCCGCCCCCTTCTTCTTCTGTTTGGCTAATGCTGTTAGATTCAGAGCACTCCTTTGCTAACATTGGCTGACAGACGCAAGAGGGATTTCGATCGTCTTTTAAAATTTATTTATCATCAATTTATTTTCAAGTTATTTTTTTACCAACGGGCAAGCGCTATGGGCCGGAAATCTGGCCTGGGGCTGGAATACTTTAATACCAGCAATTATTAATTATTTCAAACAATGCTCCTCTCTATCTGTATGCAGATGACTACCAGCTTTATACCAATACACCACCTGAGCTTCCAAGGTGTTCATGCAGGTTGAATTTCAGTATTCACATTGTTAAAACATTTTACAGTACAGTATTTTCATTGTTTATTTTTAACTCTTTATTATTATTATGTTATTCTTATTTCTAAGGTCCACATCTGTGTTTTTCTATAATATTTTTACTGCTGTAAGAATTTCCCCATTGTTCGACAATAGAGGGAGTTTCTTTTCCATTTTATTCTAATTAACGTCTCTTAAGCTGAGATAATATATCAACTGCTTGTGCTAGTGTGAATGTGAATGCAGAGAAGGAGCAAGAAGAGAGAGGAGCAGAAAATCTAAGCTATCTCTTCCATCAATCATTATTTGCCATGTAAGATCTTCAGGGAATAAGTCGTCCAGCCCAATGCAAAGACTAAGCCAAGGCTTTGGGGAGCCTGTTTTTAACCATCTGCCTCATCTAGAACAACACAGACTCCCCCATCTTATGATAGTCAAACAACAGAAATACCAGTGTGATCTACCTTGTCGCTTTCTGGTTCATCTTTGGTTTCTTTGGCATCTCCGGTTTAACAATCATCGTTTCAAACTGACAAGACAAAAAAACAAAAAAATGAGACATCTCTGTCAACCCTGACTTTGTAGTTCAAGTCACTGTGCCCTCTGGATCAACATCTTACCTTACATTTTACCAAACCTGTGGGACCAAAGATTTTTATACTGCAGATTTTACCTAAACAGTCAGGAGTAAAACACGCCTCATGAAGAATATCCTGTGAAAAAAGTGAATCAACATTTTAATTAAGAAAAAAAAACCCATCAGAAATTGCTGGTTTTCAAAAACAAGAAGAGGGGTGGTACCTTTTCATTCTTCTCACAGAACTTCGTTGTCTTCAGGCTCTTCCAGCAGTTGATGTGAAATTCAACCCTGCAGCTTTGACAGCAGCATATCTGAATGTAGCCCTGCAATGACAAGCTTATACATTTAAAACTCATCAAGGCTTTCTGCATTTTTCCAGATAGGATTTCCACAGAAATCAAACACAACAAACCTTAAAATCTGGGTCTGTGAAATAGATCTCAGGCTTTAGAGGGAAAAGGCATTTTTCAAGACGACAAATGGCATCAGGGGCAGGAGGAAATTTACACAACTCTATAGCATTCTCAAGCATTTCCTAAAGAAACAAAAACACAAAAACAACAAACAAGACAAAGCAGAAACAAAAAACAAAAGCGGTTTAGTTTGACTTTTTTTTTATATCACAACACATCTGATTTCCTTTAGGGTACAGGACACACAAACCTTAAAATCATCTGGTTGTGTTTCCTTAATAATCTCTTTAGTTAAAGGCCAGGTGAGTTTTCCCGGTGTTATTTGATTCTTCACCATCTGCAGTGAATCTAAAAACTGCTGCATGGCAACTTTAAACCTGAACAAACAAGAGGGAGACACCAGCTGAAAAAATAAACATCCTAACGATGAGACTGCTGAAAATTGGTTTAGGCATCATTTTCTTCTTACCTGTTTTCTCTGAGAAACACACGGCCGATGGCGTAGTAAACCAGACACTGAAACGTCCGCTCTTCAAATGATTTCATCTTCTCAAGGAGTTTCTCTGCTTCAGCAAGTTCCTGAGAACAAAACAAAGAAAAAAAAACCTCAGTGTGTTAAGTAAATATAATTAAAATGAGGGGCTAATCTCTGTACTGCAGAACTATCAGCTAGGTGGCAACAATAGACATGGCCACAGGCGGTTCTACACAGGAGCCTTCAGGGGCCCGTGTCCCTACAGAAATGGTCGTGGCCCCTGTAATTAAAAAAAAAAACAGACAAGCAATAAAACAGCCAAAAATAAAATATAAGTAGGTCGATTTTCTATATGTATGTATATTTTTCCTTCATTTAAGGAGGTAAGATTTTTAGATGGAATAAGATGATTTGTGTTTAAAATAGGAAAAAGTGAAACTAATAAAATATACATCTTAATTATAGTATTTCAAGTGCATTATTTCCAATTATCTTATTTTATTGGAAAAGATACTCGTTCCTTTAAAAGATCATCTTATTTACCTGCTCAAATTAAAGGCAAATACATTTTTACTTTTTAAAAGTCTAAACCAACTTCTCATGAGATCATACATGATTAATTCCATGAACCAATGTAACATTTTTGCCTTGACAGTTTAATATTATCTACAAATTACAGTCAGCTTTAAGCTTGACTCATGCTGAGATAGGACCACAGTTTTCATCTGTTGGATCAGAAGCGTACAATCTTGGTTTTGTGGCTCACAGAATACACCTATAGGAAATGCTCTTGCATTGTTTCTATTACATTTTTTTGTTTGTATAATTTCATTCTGCACCCCTCAGTGTGAAATGCTTATATATTATAGCCTAGTAGGGGGAGCCCAAGACCAGAAGTTACTTAGTTTCGATTTAACGAGACATTGTCACAGAGTAGTCGACAACACAAGCCTAGATTTACTCATGACAGTAATCATTCATTCTTTCATTTTGCTGGGCGTAACTTACATCTGGTTGTCCAATTTCTATCAAAGCTGATACTCGTCCAAACAGCAACAAGAGGACATCCAGTGTGGAAAGGCCAAGGCTCTAAAAAAAAACAAAAGAGAAAAAAAAAGCAGTTTAGAAATCATATCCTGCAACAATCTCTGGGTGAGAGACACAAGATGGCGGAACAAACTATAAACATTTGATAAATTAGAGAACACCAGAATGAGCTTATAATATGCTAAACATCCCAATTCCCTTTTAACTTGATTAGAAATAGATCTCAGATTTATAGCTTTCCTATTTTATATTTATTGGAACGTTAGGAAGTGCTAGGAAATAACAGGCAATTTTTTTTATACCGTGAGACCTTGTTGACATTGTTCTGCTTTATCTCCGTCATCCATTCCAAATTGTCCAGTAAATCACACTAACTGTAATCCCCAATCTGCATTTAGGACCCATGCGTGCATCCAAACAGAAGGTTTAATTACCTTAGGGGTTGCACCTTCCAGCAGATCCAGGGCCCGGCTGAAGGCCTGCTCTGCATTATGGCTGCGGCGGTCCGACAGGGCGGTGTGAGCTTCCTGCACCAGAAACTTCAACTCTTTGCATAACTCTTTGCTGTCAGGTTTCTTTTGGCTCTGAGAGAAAACAGCAACAGGTCAGTGATGCAAACAACCAAAAAAAAAATAAAAAAAAATCACCTATTAGAATGAATGATCCGTCATGTGTGGGGGGGGGGGGGGGGAAGAGGAAGAAGAAGAAGAAAAAAAAAAAAAAAAAAAGAAAAAAAAAACTTACTGGTTTTTGCACTTTGTCACTCATGTTCTTTGATTTGTTCTTTGTGACTTGTTCTCCAGCGCTGACAGACTCTTCTCGGTCACTGGAAGCAGATCATTTCACATTTAAATTAAAGACTTCACAAAGATTTGTCCAAAAATAAAACAAAAAAACTACACACTTTTCAAAAAATCTAGCTCAAAATTATGTCTGATCTAATTTAGGCAGAATTTATATCTTAAAGGACAAATTGGATAGAGGGAAAAACATAAGATGGAAGAAAGTAAGGATACAACAGCAAGGGAGGAATGAAGGAAACAAAGAAAGCCAAAGAAGGAGGGTTGAACAGAAAGAAGGGCTACACAAAAAGTTTATTGATAAAAATTAGGAGGTAAATCAAAGTAAAATGGAGGCAAAGTAGGAAGGGTAATATGAAATAAGGATGGAACAAAGAAATGAGAGAGACAAGAGATACAAGCAGCAACACAAGGAGGTATACAAGAAAGGAAGGAAATTAAACAAATGATTTAGACAATAAGACAAGGATTAAAGTCCATTTAAATCATTATGTTTTTTTTCCAACCCCCATTCATTTTACCTTTTTTCTGGCTGCTTGAGGACCATGTTGGTCAGATTAAAGGTCAAAGTACAACTGGTGCAAAAATTAGCCAAACATTCAACATTTTAAATGGTTTCTGCTCGCAAGCATTCGGTGTCCACAGGAAATTCATAATTTCAAACAGAGAGTTTTACTAAGAAGTTTAAATACACAACATGAGGAAAAATAATTTGAGCGAAAAAAATAAATAAATTAAAATGCATCAAGATTTCAACTGACATTCAAGTATGATAAGAAACATCTACAATGACCACATGGCTCCTGCTGACCTTTTTGATGTTTTGAAGTTTTTCGATCTTCTCTCTTGGTCAAGAGAAACTTTAAGATGCTCTAAACAAAAAAGAAATTCCAAAAAGTATGATTTATACAACATTATGGCTCACATTTGTAGTTAAAATGGCTTGCTAAAACAGGAGACCTAAATGTAAACAACCCTGACCAATCAGAAAACTGGGTTAAGGCGGATTTATACTCAGAAACCATCGTCTGAGTGTGTCGCTGAGTGTGAGTCTGAACGCCAATGTGCCTCTGCCACTTCCACACACTCTCTGGTGTAACTCTGCAAAACTGTAGGCGACCGCAGACAGTCAAAGCTGAGACTCTTCTTACACCTGGATCCCCGCTGAATTTAATTATTCAACTGTCTATGACTTGCAAGACAGAAACATAAGCATGGCCATCTTTTAACCCACAATGACGAGGAAACCTGCTGACTTCTATGGTGTTACAGTGCTTGATTGGACAGAAAGCTAAAAAGGCAATAAAAAGAGAGCTAAATGAGCTCAGTTTTCAGCGTAAGCTCCATGGTCCTGGCTGGCGTTTCTGTATTCGAAATATGAGATGACCTGATTTTCTGAGAAGTAGAAATTAGGTTTTATCAAATGGACACCTTTAAAAATGTAATAGATGACTTGAAATGCATCAGGCAGATTTAAGGAGATAAATTTGATAAAGTCAACATCACACCCACCTGTCTTTTTTTCCATTTTACACACAGGAACCTATGAACACACAAGTTGCAATAAACATCAAGTTATGATTATTTCAGGTGAGACAGAAAAAGAAAAAAAACAAACAATTATTTAATGTATTTTTGAGTTGGGTTAAAAAATAAATCAAGTCAATTTTGGACGCTCTAAAAACCAAAGTTTAAGATGAAACACCATGCTGGAAAAGTTCAGAATGATGAACTAATAAAAAATAATTTGGAGAATGTACAGTTAAATACGTTGGAACATCAGGCTTTCCAGCTCCCAACAAGTTTGGCTTGTTGGGTCTCACACAGACGTTCATTCAGAATACTGCTTAGTTTAAAGACATATCTACATTTTTACTAATAAAAAAAAAAAAAAGCCTTTTTATTTGACCCTTTATGACAAAAACGTTTGATGGACTGAGATCTCAGTAGTTCAGCGCTGAGTAAACCATCCCCCTGCAGCCATGTAACCTGACAAAGTCTGGTTAGATTCTATCATCTACATGATAAAACTGTATTTTCTATATAAAGTAGACCATATCAGAAGACATTTAAGGTTATATTTTCTATAAAACACACTGACATTCTAGGTGCACAAAGAAGGCTTACTGCGGATCTTAACTTCCAGCAGTTATTAGATTTTACAACCATAGTCACTGATAGGAACCCTGATATTCCTACAGCATAAGGCAAGTTAAATTCAAGACTTTTTAATGCCACTTGAAATAAAAATTTGAAACCAAATTTTCAAGAAACACAAAAAAACCCCGCTTGCGACAACTTTACGCAAAGGTTTGATTTTAACTTTTAACATTTTATATTTTATTTTACAAACCATTGGACAAATATTTCAAATTCTGAAAAACTTTCCATACAGGAAGAAAGCTAAAAATACACAAATGACTTATATAATAATTATTTAACTGAATTCACAAACTTTGTTTTAACAGGGAACAAAACAAATCAGTTTTAAAGCCACAACATAACCAGCAGCTATTTTTCTTTGTATCGTCTTCTTAGTATGTTTGATTTGGTGATAAGTGGAGGCGCTGTAGAGACAAGGGTGGAACAATACTGAGAAATACTGGCTGTATTCGGTACCTCGATTTTGACGATTTGTGTTTCGCGCTTCGCATGTGTGACTCCCCTGCCTTAATTCCCATCGTTCCGAGCTTGAATGACTTCTTGCACAAAATACACTGTGCGTCATGTATGTTCCCTGGTTTTAGCCATGGAGAAAACTCTTGGCTGGACAGTCAATTTTGGTTACATTTACACTTGCTCATATTTTCCAGACAAAAAGTTAATGTGGCATCTCTCAAATGTCCCGGCCGCAACAACACTTATTGGTTCCACCTTCGGGACGGAACCAATAATGGCGAGTCGTTATTTTTTTAAATACATTTTTTTTTCAATTTTAATGTTTTATTAAGATTACATAAATCATGATAAAAATAATCCCATTTATGATGTTTTAAAAATTAAGACCTACGAAGGACTGATTTAAGACACTTTAATACCAATTAAGGCCTTAGTTTTATTTTGAAGAATTCAATGCCTTTTAAGACTTTTTAAGGACCCACTTGAATACTGAATATGAATTGTTTACATTTTTGGCATCCTTGCCTTTAATGGCGGGAACAATAAACACACCCAGCATCATGATGTGAAACCAACAGCTTGATTTCTGGTGAAAAGGAAAGTCTTTGTCAGCATGTGGTGATAAACAGCTTCACAACTTTCAACACCATCCTGTGGTGACAGGATGACAGGATGAAGAATAACTAAAACGACCTTTTTGTAGGTTGAGGGGGACGAAAACCCTAAAGGACGAATATGATTGTGTTTACTTTTTATTACACTAATATAGTGGATGTTTGCTTTGAATTATGCTGGGTTTCCATCCATCTTTTCATCCATTTAAATTCAGTGTTGTTTTTATATCTGCAGCTTGTAAGGTGGCACGACCTGAGGCACTAAGGTTGCTACTCGCAGGAGATCGATTAAAACTTTTTCCATTGCAGTCTTTGTGTGTGTTCACCTAGGAGCTCGCTTATCTGCGTGTCGAGTGACAGAGAGCACACCACCATAAAGGCACACCCATGAAGGAGCAGAAATTACATAATCTCTTTGCTTGTTTAGAAGGGCAATGCTTATGTAGAAAAGGTAATGTTAAATGACTCCTTAAGCAATCTACGTGATTTCATAAATAATTTGATACGTTTGACATTTCGTCAGCAAAGCAGAAACTTAAAGGAACCTAGTACTCTCAGATATCAAATCAACACCTTCAGCTTCTTGTAGAAAAGCCTGGAGGGGTTCCATGCAGAGACATGCCTTTTTCCTATAGACAGGTGTTATTTTTGAACTCGAGGACTAAAATCTGACTTCAGCACTTTACATAACGTGCTTGTATTTTTCTTAACATATTTTATCCCTATAAGATGCTGCATGTTAAACCTATTTCTTACTGGTTTACCTGTGCAGGCATTAGGTATATCACAAGAACAGAAAGAAATATCCTTGAAAAACTAAAGCATAATTTAACAGTGACAGTCCAAACAGATGAAAGAAAAACAAACCTTACAGGTGATCATAGGTAACTCACTCACCTTAGCTGCTGGGCTTTTTGGCGGATTAGTTTTACCGCCTGTTTGTGTTGGCTGTTGGGTTTTTTTCACTAACCCTGCTTTAAAGCTGCTCCCCAGGTTAAAAATACAAAAACAGCAGTGAAAAAAAAGTTAATCACTGATAATGGATCATTTTTTCTGTTTAGACAGCGACAGATAAAAGCGAGCAAACATACCTGTAAGGCTGTTGCTGTTCAGCTGAAAGCAAAGCAAAGTAGCGTGAGTTTCACTTTAGACAAACAGGAAGCAATAGATCAGCCTGGAGATGAGTCACTTCCTTCGGCATGATATAATTCAGTAATCAGTTCAACCTAAATTACCCATAAAAAGCAAACATAGAGGGAAGATAAAAACAGAAAAGGTCTCCTTACCAGGGACAGACTCTGAATTAAACTTTAAGTACTGCTGTTCCAGATCTCTGAGTCCCTCTGGGTTGTCTTTACACAGTATCTTAGCAGTAGTGTGGGCTTCAAGAGCTAAATCTCTCTCCTTCATGTAGAACAAGGCCTCACAGTATCGGTAATGGCCCTGAAATTAGATAGTGGAGCAATGTTTACAACTACAGTTTGCTTCACTGATCAACTGCCTCAAGAAAGACAAAACCATTACAAGATCCATCCTGGATAATCGAACCCGACCTAACGGTTTAAAATACTCGTATGAAAGAAAGATGGATGCTAAGCTGTTTTGCCATATACGAGTGTGAAAACAACTGCGTGATTATCTGATCGGCACCCAATGGTGTTATTCCGTCTCAATTCAATTCAATTCAGTTTATTTATATAGCGCCAAATTCACAACACATGTCATCTCAAGGCACTTTACAGTTCAACCAGATCATACAGTCAAATTGATACAAAGTTTTCTATCTAAGGAAAACCAGTTGATTGCATTGACTCATTGACTCAAATACAATCCCTCACACTAAGCATGCTTGTAGCGACAGTGGAGAGGAAAAACTCCCTTTTAACAGGAAGAAACCTCCAGCAGAACCAGGCTCAGTGTGAGCGGCCATCTGCTGAGGCCGACTGTGGTTTAAGGAGACAGAAGCAGAGACACAAAAAGCAGCTGTAAAAGGCGGCCCCGTCCAGGAAACACACAGCCAGGCAGACGAGCTCCAAGGCAGCTCCCATGCCAGAGGACGAAGAGAGCACATCCACTCAGCAGCAGCAATATTTCTGCACACAATCACGGCCAAGATCCGACCAGATTTTAGCCAATGTGAAATAATCAGACATCGGGTGATCTAAAAATTCTTGTTTTCTGTTTTAAGGTGCTAATGTAAATTTCAGGACTCTAATATGCGGAATACATTAGTAGATATTACTGTGTAATTATTATTATTTAGATTCGAATTTTCTAGCAGATTAAAGCCATTCTAAAATGAAATTGAAAATTAATTAGCGAAATTCAGTCAGCTCATAAAAAATAAGGCATACCTTTGCCCAGAGCGGGTCGATGAGAATAGCCCGTTTTGCATCGCCTGCTGCTTTTCTATAAAAAGAGAAGAAAAAGTTTGTTGTTAGAGAGAAAAAATGTTTAAGTTTATAGAAACTTTTTGCAAATTCTTTACAGCATTGCACGTCTGACAACAGCAGGGATTTTGATTGATCGACCTTATTGATCTCACAGTGGAGATATTCACTCGTTACATTAGCTCAAATAGTCAGAAGAAGGTGCCACGGGTAGAAAAAGGAGCATGGGATATATATGACAGCTATTTTTTTTTTTTAAATAGCAGGATTATTACACAGGGTGTTAACATGGGTATTTATATAGATGTGTGTGTGTGTATATATATATATATATATATATATATATATATATATATGTGTGTGTGGAGGAAAGAGAGCATCCCACTTGCATTTAGTCGCTATTCTATGACTTCTCTCCCTTTATAAGCAGTTGCTAAATACAGGTTAACAGAAGAAAATAAAACACCTTTAAAAAGGTCCCATATTATGATGCATTTAGAAAATAAAAAAATATTAACGAGGCCCAAGAGCATGCTTTTGCTGTTTAAGCAGGAAAACTGCCCTCAGGTCAGACAGAAAGCATGAATAAAAAAAAATCTAATTTCCTTTGGACAAGCCATTTTGGCTCCAGTTCTGTTAGCTTTACGCCTGCCGAAGACACAGACATCCATCCCTGTGAACACTGGGACGTAACTCGGTGGTTAAGTCAATGACTGTTATTTCAACCGTTGCATATATTAGCAGCGATATGAACCGAGGTGCTATGACCGAAAAAATTTGATTGACAGATGACCGGTGATATATGATTGGCCGAATTTAGGTGTACAAGCTGATGTATAACTAACTGGCCTGCATAAAATGATGAGGGGAAAAAAAAAAAAAAAAAGATTTTAAGACAGGATTTTTTTTCAAATAGAAAGTTTCAAACTTTTGGGACAATATTGTCTGATAAAGAGTACTTTTATATAGCCAGAATTATTAGAAATTTTAATATGATTCCCCTATGACTTTAATAGTTTATTCACATGGGTTAATCATCTTCCAGTCAAATGCTTTACTTTCCTACAGTGGTTCTTGAAACCATTTTACTTACAGATATTCCTTCTGCTTGATGTAACACAGGGCTCTGTTTCCATAAAGAATGTGGTTGTCAGGACTGAGGAGAAGAAAACGACATGATCATATTAGATTAGGGCCGGCACGGTACGGGGGTCACAGTTCGGCACTCGGATTTCCACGCAGAATACACAGGGTACAGAAGATTAATATTGATCTGGACGCGGAACTGTTGTTTTGCAAGCATTTCCTTCAGGACCCATTTAACCACTACCATCTGCATGCTCTGATTGGTCCGTAGACATGTTGGATTGGACTAGATAGTAAACGCCACCTTAAAATACAAACTGCCCACTAGCAGTACCTGTGGGAAGGTACCGCTGTTGGGTTGTGTTGTTGCGAGAGAGTGCCAACAATGGTGAGAGGCGAAGAATTAGAAGACCCACCACCATCATTCAAGTCAGATGTGTGGGATAACTTTGGGTTCCCTGTGAGTTATAATAGCGATGGAGAGCGAGTGGGGGACAAAACAAAGAGGGTCTGTCGTAGTTGTTCGACACCAGTTCATTACACGAGTGGGAACACTCCATATATGTTGACACATATCAAATGACACCACCCAGATATCCCCATCACCGGCACGAGGCGGCAGAAGTGTCCAATTACATCTCCCAAATCTATTACAACAACCCCTTGATACGAACACGAAAAAAATTACTGAAGCAATTTGAATTTACATCGCATCTGTGATGCGCCCATATTCCACAGTAGAAGAGGCACAATTCAGATATCTATTGCCTTTAAGGATATAATTTTGGTCATGTTTTTTCTGAAACGTATCGAACTGTACGGTCCATACAGAGGTACGTACCGAACCTGGAGTTTTCTGTACCGTTCAACCCCTACATTAGATACCAACATAAGTTTTTTTTAGGCCAATAAAGAGGACTGATTCCTCACTTTTAATAAATTACTTCTTTATCTTCTTATTTCCAGGATTTATTTGTGTCTCACATATGTTCTTTTACCTGACTGGTTGATGTGGAAAGAGCCATTTCAGAAATGTACTTACTAAACTTTGATGGCTTTAGTATAATACTTTAGCGCTTCTCCATACTGCTGTTCCTGGAACTTGTCATTTCCCAGCTTTTTCATTGCCCTACTTTTCTGGAAATAAATTACAAACAAACATACAGCAGAAACATCTATGATCATTTCAGCAAAGAAACATTGAAGCAATGGTATCAAGAGATATCCACTATATGTATAAGTCAGTTACTACTAGATCAGAGTAGCTCTCCTGCTTTCACAATAATAAAAAAAAACCTCAACAGAAAAGGTTTAATCTAATTATACAGTTTGTCTAATGCAGTGTGGTTTTGATCAGTTTGGCCCCACCCAGTGGACAAAAGCTATATTGTTTTGCCTGATGGAACAAAGCAGGGAATTACAAGATAAAATCCCAATCTGCAGAATAAGAAAATAAGAAACGTTTAACTTTTTTTTTTTTTTTTTTTTTTATTTACCGTATTTCATTCAATTAGTTGCGAGTCGATGTATAATCACAAAATTTCTGAAAATATTTCAGGATCTGCATGTTTCTGAGAGAAATTGGCTGCTTATCACTTAACAATTATTCAATTGATAAGATCAACTTTATGCTACCTCAATCAAAAAAAAAAAAATCATAATAGCCATATTGGTTGGAGAAAAGAAAATGCAATTTTGATTTTTGCCAAAACTGTCCAACACATAAAAAGAAAAATGTTGCAACATTAAAAGCCTGTCCCTTCAGTGTTTACTGCAGTTACCTCTAAAGCAGAATCTTCTGGCGGCGACCTCAGGGCCTTCATCGTTGAGTCCAAGTTTTTGCTCATTTCAAGGATAAACTTACAATCTGAACAAAAAAAAAGGAATTGTTTATCAAAAAAGAAACAATTTATCAAATAGACTGTAGAGTTCAGATTTTAAAGATAATGGTAAGTATATTTCTAATGTAAAAATATAAGAACAAGCCTTGCCCCGTTATTTGCAAAGTCCCTCGAAAGCTATCAGATTGGAAGGAAAAACTTTTGTTTACACAAAACGTATTAAATTGTCTGACATTTTAAATCTGGTTCAAGTCTCCTCCCAAAGCCACTGTTTTCTTGATTTTAAAGTTTCCTCCTTATTTCCCTCTGCTTTACGAAGGTTCATGTTCTATCTTTAAAAAATAAATAAATAAAAAAAACACCAAAGCGGAATGCCAACCATTCTTATTTTGCATATATGATGTTTCGGTAATGCACTGTGGGCATTCTGTGTGAAACTATGGTTGGGAAGTTCAGCCTGGGTGTCATTAGATAAAACTTCCTCAGATACTCTGGAGGGACTAAATATGTTTTTTTCCCTAAATATATCAAAGCTTGGATTGTCTTCATTGTAAGAAAAAGGTACAGAACCATCAAAGTTCTCCAGCTTCTCTAATGACGTAGGAAGTGCGACAGAAAACTGGTGAAGGAGTAAACAAACAGACTGTTGGTAAAATGGTGAATACGTCCTTCTTAAAAATGAATGAACGTAGAGCCTCTTCCTGCTCACGTTTCAACGAAAACCTCAAGTCTAATCCTTCCAAAACTGATATCAAAGCTGAGTCAAACAAGAGCTGTTCAATAGTTGTTACCATCTTCCTTGTTGTGTTTTCTTCAGCGTTGCGCAGCTTTGTCGTCACACCCTCAAAACCCTGCCCGCTTTGCAACCAGAAATTCAAAACACATCTCTGCGTTGTGACTGGCCCACCAGTTCTAGGGCCTTGGGCTGTTTGAGGCTAAACCAAACCGGCAAGCAAAATAGATTTTGACCGCTGGCAGGTGGGGCTAGTTTACTAGGCTACTAAAATGATCAGTCTTTTTACAAAAGACTTCGATTTATTTTGTATTTACACGAGTGAATACAAAAAGAAATTTCGTTTAAAACAACTCTAGACAATTTCATTTTTAAAAAACCTGCTTGTCTGACAATAATATGAGAACTTTTTTATATTTCCTTTTACTGAGGAATCACCTAACTGTAAAAGAAAAAAAAGAAAAAAAAATAGATACTACACAGTCCTTCGTCTTACACTCTGAGAAGATGAAGGTGAAGGTTGCATAACAGCCTGGGATGTCTCCGAGGCAGAGCAGCTGCTCCCGTTCTATCCGATACACAGACTTCTCCAACCAGCGAACTGTTTCTTCCATGACATCTGGTGAACCGCACTGTGGAAGAAAATTCACTGATATTGCTCAACACATCTTTAGACAAGAGAAGGCAAATTCACACACAGACATTTAGACGTTCTAGTCAATATAAACTTTAGACTGAATCAAAGTGTTGTAGTTAATAATCCAATCAGACCCATTGCTCCATGTTCACAGGACACGGAGAACATGGACAGCATAAGGCAAGTTAAATTTAAGACTTTTTAATGCCAATTGAAATAAAAATTTAAGACCAAATTTACAAGAAACACAAGAAAAACCCGCTTGCGACAACTTAACCCAAAGGTTTATTTTAACAAAAACCACTGCACCAATGTTTCAAATTTTGAAAAACTACCCATACAGGAAGAAAGCTAAAAACACACAAATGACAGATATATTTTAAAAATTATTTAACTGAATTCACAAACTTTGTTTTAGAAGGTAACAAAACAAACCAGTTTTAAAGCCACAACATAACCAGTGCTAAGTCTTTTTTGCAGCTATTTTTCTTTGTATCGTTTTCTATGTTTGATTTGTTGATAAGTGGAGGCGTTACAGAGACAAGGGTGGAACAAAACTGAGAAATACCAGCTGTTTCTCGGTAACTCGATTTTGACGCTTTGTGTTTCGCGCTTCGCATGTGACTCCACTGCCTTAATTCCCTTCGTTCTGAGCTTGAATGACTTCTTGCACAAAATACACTGAGCCTCATGTATGTTCCCTGGTTTTAGCCATGGAGAAAACTCTTGGCTGGAGCCAATTTTGGTTACATTTACACTTGCTTATATTTTCCAGACAAAAAGTTAATGGTGCATCTCCCAAATGTCCCAGCAGCAACAACGCTTTTATTGGTTCCACCTTCGGGACGGAACCAATAAGGGAGAGTCGTAATTTTTTTAAAATAAACAATAACTGTCAATTTTAATGTTTTATTTAGATCAAAAAAATAAATCGTACTAAAAATAATCATATTTATGATGTTTTAAAAATTAAGACCTACGAAAGACTGATTTAAGACATTTTAATACCAATTAAGGTCTTAGTTTTATTTTGAAGAATTCAATGCCTTTTAAGACTTTTTAAGGACCCGCGGGAACCCTGATGAAGCAGTGTTTGATACAATCTAACAGTCATTGTAAGAGCAAACATGAAAGCTTGAAGAACGTGACCAAAGGTCATTCCACAAAGTTGCAATATTCCACTGCTGTTGTTGGCCTAGTGGTCATATCACTACCAATTTGCACGATGAGTGATAAGTTCCCCTGCTGTTGCTTTGCTGTGTAATCAAAAAGGAGCTTTTAACTGTAGTGTCCGTGGGTCCACCAAATCTTTCAGATACGCTTCCAGAATTACCCTGATTCAGGTAAGAATTGTTCAGACAACAGAGGTAAGGTGAGGCGTTCTGGAGCTCAGAGAGCAGCAGGAGATCAGAGCAAGAACCCAGCAAGGAGACGGCTGGCCGTGCGCCACTGTGGATATTGGAGCAGCTACCCACAAAACTCATAAGAGCATTGCTTACTTCATCCCATTTCAATATAATTTTTCTTTTTTTTTGCCCACTTTGATTTTGGTTTCAAAGATGCGTTGCATTACATTCCTCCTGTTGCAGGCCTGTACATAAGGGCGATATAACTTTTAAGACCCCTCGGCTAGTTCAGGTGGTAAGTCACCTACATCGTATCTCAGCTGGGGGTAATGAGCTGCCAGTGTGGGTCCTTAGGCAAGAGCCTTCCGTCTAATGCCTGCTTTGGGGAGTAGCGGCCTAGTGGTTAGGGCATTGTGCTTGGAATCCTGAGGTTCTGAGTTCAAGCCCCAATCCCAGAGACTGCCACTCTGGGTCTCTGAGCAAGACCCTTAACCCAACACTGCTCCCTAGGCGCCGCACAATGGCAGCCCACTGCTCCCCATGGGGATGGGTTAAATGCAGAGAGTTAATTTCATTGCTCTGTACTTGTGACAATGTAATGACAATAAAAGGCTGTGAAAAAACTTTTCTTTTTCTTTAAAAATAAAAACTAAATAGCGAAAAAAAATCTAGCAACTATTTCCTGTCTTGTTAGAGACTTCATTCACAACATGAAAGCTTCGATCTTTGAGTTCAGAATCTTCAATAAGCAGTGCATGAGCACTGTTCGTCTGCAAAAGAAACTCCCCTATGCCTGAGAAAAGCTTTCATAAGAAAGTTGAAGTTTGTTTCAAGTTAATTACCGTATTTTCACGACTATAAGGCGCACTTAAACGCCTTTTTTTCCCCTCAAAATGTGCGGTGCGCCCTATGTGTGTTGTAACTGCGACTTTTGAGACCACCTCATTGAGGAGATGATGAGAGAGTGGCTGAATGTAAGGAGACCAGGTGTTTTTTTTTCACTCATCACCATCGCTGTTAATATGCAACTCCATGCGTGCCCATCTCACAGCTGATGTGAAAAACAAGGGGAAACAAATTAACGCTGTGCTCGCTGTTCAACCGCTCGACATCGGTGTGAACCGGACCCAGCAGGTGCAGCAGAAGCAGCGAGTTTACATGCAAAGTCAATGGTTGACGCGCGTACAGGTGCAGCAAAAGGTCCCGCAGCGCGTTTTGAGCAGCAGGTGCAGCGCGTCGGGAGCGTTTAAGCATCTGCCAACGCGCTGCTGCTGCTCGAGATGGAAAAATTGAAGTTTTGCTGCTGGACGCGCCGCATCAACCAATCAGAGAAGCTGATCTGGGAGCTGACAGCGAGACAGACACAGCGCTCTGATGACATATGAACGCAAATGAAAAAGGCTGGATGGATGATGAGATGATGAAAGCGTGGCTGAGGGAGGTGTATGTGAGGAGACCAGGTGGTTTTTTCCACGCATCACCATCGCTGCGTGCCCATCTCACAGCCGATGTGAAACAAAAGGTGAAACAAATGAACGCTGTGCTCGCCGTTATCCCGGGGGGTCTGACAAAGGAACTTCAACCGCTCGACATCGGTGTGAAGCGGCCGTTCAAAGTAAGGCTGCGAGCGGCGTGGGAGAGATGGATGACAGACGGAGACCAAAGTTTCAGGATAAGTGGAAGGCAGCGCCGGGCAAGTTACGCCACCGTTTGCGGATGGATTGTAGATGCTTGGACTAACGTGTCTGCTGGCTCTGTTGTTCAAGCTTTCACAAAAGCCGGCATTATTTCTGAGGAGCTGCGCTGCACGGAAAGTGACTCTGACAGCGAAGAAGGGGAAATTGGCATGTCTGATTTAGCGCAGCTGTTTAATTCAGAAACACAGGATGATGACTTTGATGGGTTCGATTAATACTTTGTAATAAATACATGAATAAAGCACAATCATACTCAGTTTTGCCCCCGCTGTATTTTTAAATACGCAGTAGAGGTATTTAAAGGTAGTAGAGGACATGTACCTGTATATAAAAAACGCGCCCTATAGTCCGGTGCGCCTTATGTGTGTGTTAAATACAGAAATGGGACACATAACTGAGAGTGCGCCTTTTAGTACGGTGCGCCTTATGGTCGTGAAAATACGGTAATGGAAAATATTTTCATTCACATGCTAAGACAATCGCCTCTAAAAGTGCACATTACCTGTCAGAAGCACAGCATGAGAAGTTCTCAAAAAGATAACAGTTATGAGCAAGACGCAAATAATTTCTTCACCTTTACCCTCTCTGGTGAGGAATATGCATTGTCAGGCTCAGCTTGAACTCCTTAATCTGTAGTCCGATACTGTCAAAACATTATAATCCACATCCCCACAGATGACAAATGACACAAAGAATAGCTCGTCTGTAAAGATGAAGTCAACGGAGTTAAAATACTTGCGCCACACCTGTGAGAGGTGTGGTCACGCTGATACAGAAGTGAAGAATTTCACAATCTGTGTAAGAGTTGAAGGAAAGCACTATAAACAGAGAATTAGCAGATACTGTGTAACCTTGCTCCAAGAGGACCTTAGTAAGTACGATTCCCAAGATCTCCTCAGGTCTACCTATATCTGAGAACACCCAATGTTGCATTTATCAAAACCAGATATGAATACTCTGACATGATAGTCTTCACATTTCCACCTCAGATATTTAGCTTGACTTTAGTGCATTAGTTCCATACCAAAACACAATAGATTCTGTCTGAACACTAAGAGAACCGGGATCAGCCAATTTAACACTACTAGGGGCATCGCTTTCATTAAAAAGTTTTTAATGCAAAAGTTAATGTGACTTTGATCTTTGAAAACTAGTTTAAATTCAATGATGCAGTTTTATAAATGCTTCAAAAATGCATTTGGCTATTGAAAGCTTCAGCATTGAACTCAAAAAGTCTGGAAGTTTTGCTGAAGAAAAAATATGCCTGGTTTGAAGTCAAACCAAGTGCAGAGTAAATGAAGGATAGAGCAGAACAGACACCAGAGGCTGCATCACTGTGCATCTGTCAGGGCAGCCATGCAGAAGCATATTGGTTAGTTTGTTTGTTCATTGGTTTGCTAACCTGAAAATTATGAACATATCTAAAGAAAATCTTTACCAGAGGTATGTCTAACACTAAGGAACAATTTATTAAAATTTGGTAATGATCCCGATCATGTGTAAGTTTTCACTATAGGTGAAAATCACAGTATGGGGCAAAACTTAACAGAGCGCAGGGCTTTTCTAGTTTTTAATAATTTTAAAATGTGGAAAGAGTTTATCAACTTACCAAAGACAACTCGTTACAAATGGCAAAAATCTTTTTGGAAAAATCTTTGTCCCACTACATAAAAGAAAAAAAAAATTAGAGAAAATCCACAGAAATAAATGTTTACTAATTATTTTGTTTCCCATTTCAGAATAAATATATACAAGATATCCTGCCCTCTTCGTTTTCTACTAAAACATAATGTTAATTGGCTAATACAGGTGCTGGTCATAAAATTAGAATATCATGAAAAAGTAGATTGATTTCAGTAATTCCATTTAAAAAGTGAAACTTGTATATTATATTCATACATTACATACAAACTCATATATTTCAGATGTTTATTTTGTTTAATTTTGATGATTACAAATGACAACAAATGAAAATCTCAAATTCATCATATCAGAAAATTAGAATATTGTGAAAAGGTTCAAAATTGATGGCCCCTGGTGCCACACTCTAATCAGCTAATTAACTCAAACCACCTGCAAAAGCCTTTAAATGGTCTTTCAGTCTAGTTCTATAGGCTACACAATCATGGGGAAGACTGCTGACTTGACAGTTGTCCAAAAGACGACCATCGACACCTTGCACAAGGAGGGCAAGACACAAAAGGTCATCGCTAAAGAGGCTGGCTGTTCACAGAGCTCAGTGTCCAAGCACATTAATAGAGAGGCGAAGGGAAGGAAAAGATGTGGTCGAAAAAAGTGTACAAGCAAGAGAGATAACCGCACCCTGGAGAGGATTGTGAAACAAAACCCATTCAAAAATGTGGGGGAGATTCACAAAGAGTGGACTGCAGCTGGAGTGAGTGCTTCAAGAACCACCACACACAGACGTATGAAAGACATGGGTTTCTGCTGTCGCATTCCTTGTGTCAAGCCACTCTTGAACCACAGACAGCGTCAGAAGCGTCTTGCCTGGGCTAAAGAGAAACAGGACTGGACTGCTGGTGAGTGGTCCAAAGTCATGTTCTCTGATGAAAGTAAATTTTGCATTTCCTTTGGAAATCAAGGTCCCAGAGTCTGGAGGAAAAGAAGAGAGGCACTTCATCCACGTTGCTTGAAGTCCAGTGTAAAGTTTCCACAGTCAGTGATGGTTTGGGGTGCCATGTCATCTGCTGGTGTTGGTCCATTGTGTTTTCTGAGGTCCAGGGTCAACGCAGCCACATACCAGGAAGTTTTAGAGCACTTCATGCTTCCTGCAGCTGACCAACTTTTTGGAGATGCAGATTTCATTTTCCAACAGGACTTGGCACCTGCACACAGTGCCAAAGCTACCAGTACCTGGTTGAAGGACCATGGTATCCCTGTTCTTAATTGGCCAGCAAACTCTCCTGACCTTAACCCCATAGAAAATCTATGGGGTATTGTGAAGAAGAAGATGCAATACACCAGACCCAACAATTCAGAAGAGCTAAAAGCCACTATTAGAGCAACCTGGGCTATCATAACACCTGAGCAGTGCCACAGACTGATCGACTCCATGCCACGCCGCATTGCTGCAGTAATACAGGCCAAAGGAGGCCCAACTAAATACTGAGTGCTGTACATGCTCATACTTTTCATGTTCATACTTTTCAGTTGGCCAACATTTCTATAAATCCTTTGTTTTTATTGGTCTTCAGTAATATTCTAATTTTCTGATATGATGAATTTGAGATTTTCATTTGTTGTCATTTGTAATCATCAAAATTAAACAAAATAAACATCTGAAATATATGAGTTTGTATGTAATGTATGAATATAATATACAAGTTTCACTTTTTAAATGGAATTACTGAAATCAATCTACTTTTTCATGATATTCTAATTTTATGACCAGCACCTGTAAATAAAACTCCTCCTTTAACAGTGTTAATCTTTTACAGGAACTGATGATAATATCCAGGTTTTGCCTGTCAAAACCCTGATATTATCATTTCAGACAGAATAAATTTAGGACTGAAAAAAGAAAAATGTCCAGTCTTTTATTGAGCAGATAGGTGATGATCAGACTTACACTTCCAACTTCCAGGTTCAAAAGGATTTTTTCAACCACTTGTATTTTGTGTAGGTTATTCAAATGAAGCCTTCCACTTTTCCTACAAAAGAAGAACAGGAGTTCAGCATCTTGAGATGATTCCAGGTGGTGTTATTTTCAGAAATCGAAGCATGGCTTACTTGCTGTTGATTAAACCAACTGCTACAGCCCAGTCGCAGGTTCTGGAATTATCTGGCTGCAGCAGAGAGGGAAACCAAAACACACAGACTCTCATTCGCTGTGCACCTTCTATCTTGGAGGTAAGCGGTATGGCGCACCACTGCTGAAAACCTCTCTCTGAAACAACAGAAGAAGATCATCATGATATTTGATTCAATCCACGCTCTGTCTAAGATGTCACTTTTTTATTTTCCTTTCATATATAATATCACTTAAAAATTATTTCCTGATTAAATACTTAAGATGCTTCTACATCCTCAAAATACTGCTAATATCTGTGGACCGGGAAAAAATTAAGAAAAGTTTTACACAATGTCTGAGTTAAATTTCACATCTGGACAAGTATACAATATGTGACATAATACTATGCATCAAATGTAAAGCATTAAAACGCTGCATAATGTTCATTTATTTGACTGGTTGAATTAACTTCATTTATGCCGAAGGGCCAAACAGAATAGAGATATCCAGTATTCAAAGCAGCAAAGTGAAAAAGGAAGCATGTAAATTCATGCAAAATAGAAAATATTAGCACATGTATATTATATATTAGCACAACACAAATGTCAAGGGAGCTCAAATTTGCAGTTTGAGAAAAACTGCAGAGAAATTAAAATTACCATAGTTATACTTTATTTAACAATGAGCCGAATTTAAAACTTATAAATTATGCTTTAAAATACAATAAACAAAAAAAAACAAAAAAAACTGCTTAACACCCCAGCATTTAGCTTCACATTGTCTTGTAAGGGCTTTTTTATACATCAGCTTTAATATTTCTACAACTTTGTTTGATTAATTAATAATAGAAAAATAGGCAAAGCAATGTTGGAGAAATTATACTTGCAAAAATAAGGAGCAATAGAATTGGCAAATATGTCAGGGATAAGCAGGCAGACCATCTAAAGTCCTTTACAGGTCAAACTATTCTACCCTGATAGCTGCATCTCATACATTAATGGTTCTATTTATCGATTCATTCTGAAACTTGAGCAAAATTACTTCAACACACCAATTGGCTGCTAGGTAGCAAGGCAGTGGCTCATACAGTAAGATGGCTAACGCAGATTTGTGCAAAGCAATGATGATGATCAAGCATTCCCTCCTGAAAGAGACCGAAGGACTGGTAAATTTGATGTTAAAGCAAGCTGCGTGGCCTCTTTCCCCCACGGCTACGTCTCTAGTGACACTGTCGCACTGGGTTTGCTGTGATGTCACCAGTTCAACAGAAATAAGGAAAGCAAGCAATAGAGAGCAACATGTAAGGAAGCCAGGGCGTAGACAGTGCACTTTATTGTTTCTTTCTTTTGTCCCCGTTTATCAAATGTAATCAGAGGCGTTTTGGCTCACACAGACTGGCGCGGTCTGTGTTTGAGTCCGTACATAGGGCTCAATGGTAGTATAGCGCAAAATTAGCAGGTCAACCGGGCTCAGATGTTCCCCCTGTGTGCCAACAGGAGCCAAGCTTTTTCAAGGTAATTTTAACTCGGGTCAACACAGGTCATTGAGTGTTAACCAATGCCACTAAACACAGACTGTTCCAGAGTTTAAATATGTTTTTCGAACAGTGGGAAAATGGTATAATAGTATTATTACCATCACTAGTATCGGTTCTAATAAGGATGTTTACCCACACATCCATCAACTTAGGCAAATCTGAGCCCCCGGCAGCTTCAGACCCAGTTTAATAAACAACGTTCATAATGAATTCCAAGCACCAGCCTTAGGTCTCTAGTATTTTTTTCTAGAGGTGATACTTGTACTTTTTGCTTTATTGTTTTCAAACTTTCCAAGGAGGTGATAACTGGCTTAGTCGTAGTTCTTCCTTGTTTACACCTGTTGTGCCATATGCCATGATCATACTTTTTGGACATTGGGAAGCAGTGTCCATTTTTCATCCTGATAGGATGACCAGAGAAGAAAACACAGCTTTGGTGAATAACAGCTGGGGGACTTCTGCAGCCCCCCTTTTTCAGCCAAAGCAGCCACATGGAAGTCACAGAGGTGTGACCAACCACCACCCCCCCTCTGTGAGGGCAGAACAAAACCACAGAGCACACAGGATTCTGCCTCTTTTCTCTCTTTTGCTCCCTTCTGCTCCTGCGCTCAAAGCTGGGGCCCACTGTGGCCCACAGTGGAGATGCGGGCCCCAGGGGAACCAGATCCCCAGAACCATCGAGGATAAGTCGAACCCTTCAGAACCAAACTGCTGCAAACAGAACTTTTGCAATACATTTCTCTTGAGTTTCAGAACTTACAGAGCCAAACTGGACGAGGAGCATGCCCTGGTGTGAGACTGAGAGGACCCCTGCTGTGAGACTGAGACAAAGAATCCCTGACTGCAGAGCTGCAAAACTGGATGAAACTCAAGCTTTCCAAATGGACATGGAAAAAGGTTTGCAGGTCTGGCATGATTAGGGACAGAACAAGCAATACAGGTGCTGGTCATAAAATTAGAATATCATGAAAAAGTAGATTGATTTCAGTAATTCCATTTAAAAAGTGAAACTTGTATATTATATTCATACATTACATACAAACTCATATATTTCAGATGTTTATTTTGTTTAATTTTGATGATTACAAATGACAACAAATGAAAATCTCAAATTCATCATATCAGAAAATTAGAATATTGTGAAAAGGTTCAAAATTGATGGCCCCTGCAAAAGCCTTTAAATGGTCTTTCAGTCTAGTTCTATAGGCTACACAATCATGGGGAAGACTGCTGACTTGACAGTTGTCCAAAAGACGACCATCGACACCTTGCACAAGGAGGGCAAGACACAAAAGGTCATCGCTAAAGAGGCTGGCTGTTCACAGAGCTCAGTGTCCAAGCACATTAATAGAGAGGCGAAGGGAAGGAAAAGATGTGGTCGAAAAAAGTGTACAAGCAAGAGAGATAACCGCACCCTGGAGAGGATTGTGAAACAAAACCCCTTCAAAAATGTGGGGGAGATTCACAAAGAGTGGACTGCAGCTGGAGTGAGTGCTTCAAGAACCACCACACACAGACGTATGAAAGACATGGGTTTCTGCTGTCGCATTCCTTGTGTCAAGCCACTCTTGAACCACAGACAGCGTCAGAAGCGTCTTGCCTGGGCTAAAGAGAAACAGGACTGGACTGCTGGTGAGTGGTCCAAAGTCATGTTCTCTGATGAAAGTAAATTTTGCATTTCCTTTGGAAATCAAGGTCCCAGAGTCTGGAGGAAAAGAAGAGAGGCACTTCATCCACGTTGCTTGAAGTCCAGTGTAAAGTTTCCACAGTCAGTGATGGTTTGGGGTGCCATGTCATCTGCTGGTGTTGGTCCATTGTGTTTTCTGAGGTCCAGGGTCAACGCAGCCACATACCAGGAAGTTTTAGAGCACTTCATGCTTCCTGCAGCTGACCAACTTTTTGGAGATGCAGATTTCATTTTCCAACAGGACTTGGCACCTGCACACAGTGCCAAAGCTACCAGTACCTGGTTGAAGGACCATGGTATCCCTGTTCTTAATTGGCCAGCAAACTCTCCTGACCTTAACCCCATAGAAAATCTATGGGGTATTGTGAAGAAGAAGATGCAATACACCAGACCCAACAATTCAGAAGAGCTAAAAGCCACTATTAGAGCAACCTGGGCTATCATAACACCTGAGCAGTGCCACAGACTGATCGACTCCATGCCACGCCGCATTGCTGCAGTAATACAGGCCAAAGGAGGCCCAACTAAATACTGAGTGCTGTACATGCTCATACTTTTCATGCTCATACTTTTCAGTTGGCCAACATTTCTATAAATCCTTTGTTTTTATTGGTCTTCAGTAATATTCAAATTTTCTGATATGATGAATTTGAGATTTTCATTTGTTGTCATTTGTAATCATCAAAATTAAACAAAATAAACATCTGAAATATATGAGTTTGTATGTAATGTATGAATATAATATACAAGTTTCACTTTTTAAATGGAATTACTGAAATCAATCTATTTTTTCATGATATTCTAATTTTATGACCAGCACCTGTATGTCTTTTGATGATGCTAATCATATCACGTGTTTACTGCAGAGTAAAGACAATGCTAATTGATGCTAAAGAATGGACTGCATGCTACAGGAATATGTGTTGAGCTGTTGCTAAAGCTTAGACAAGCTTTAATCACCAAGGATTTAAACACTGATATAACATTAGTGTTCATATGTTCCTCAAATGCTCATTACATTTCCATTACCAAGTATGACCAAGAGTCATTTATTGAAATCCTCATGTATATTCGCTGCTAGCTATTTCAAAGAGGGTAAAGAATCATTTAGCTAAAGGTTATTGGTTCTTGATTAAGCAAATCATTCAATAGAACATTATTTGGCCAAATAATGTTTTATTCACCTCATGGATTTGCATTGGGAATTGGTCTGAAAACATTCCAATTTCTTTAAAATTAGTGAAAAGCTAATTTGATCATATCCAAAATTCTTCCAGATAAACTCAACCGTTTCCCCTTCCTCTTTGTACATAGTAGTTAGTTTAGTTTAGTTTTACTAGTCTTAGTTGAGAGTGTTAAACTGAAATACGTTTGACGTGGAGCTGAATGATTTTTGTTAATAAAATCTTATATTTTGAACAGAAGTTGTGGTGAATTTATTCCATGTATGTGCAGAAATAACTGTTTGACCATGATTAGTGATCGAATCACTCTTTCATCTATTGTTCTAACACACAGTTAGTAGGACTGTGTGTCATAAACAGTATATAACAGCTGAAATAATATCTGATTAAATAAGATATTTTACCACCCCTACAGGGGAGGGCAATAAACATCTTAAAGTATCAGAAACATAAATTCCCAGCGGGCTGGGAATAGAATTTAACTATAGAATCACAACACACCCTTGGCAAAAGCTCAGTATTGTACATGCATTGTTATTGTAAAGATACACAGAAGGCCTTTATGTACTAACAGGTTGAGCAAAAACAAAGCATAAAACACACAAAATACCAAACAACACAGAAGGTTTTCAGAAAACCTTTGTAAGCAACCAGAGTGAGCTACTGGTGTTTACATGTTAAAAAATGTCATAACCCGCCTATAACCTTTAAGAAAAAAAACGTAGAAGAAAAGTTCATGCAATACTATTAAAAAGCAGGCTTTGGTACATTTTGGTCATAGGTTGTTGCAAGAGTTAAAACCTATATCAGTAGAGTGCAATACATATTGACTGAAGCATCTTACCTGATAGATGAAATTTGGTGGCTTTGTCTAATCTCTAAGAATAATAAAAAAAGAAAGGCAAGGTAAGAGAAAAACAGGACAAAATACTTTTGGAAGATATTTTTATTACTGCTCAATTTTACCCATAATTTCATCTTTATTTCATCGTTCCAATCCCCATCAGAGTCTGAATCAGACATTTTGTTGAAGTCTAGAAAAAAACAAACATTAACAATGTTAAATATAAATTTCTCACCAAATAATGATGTCATTTTTACATAATACAAAATATCAACATATATTTTATAGTTTAACTTTTTTGCTCTTCATGCATTTGACATGAGGTTGCACAATAACATTAGAGCGTAGACTGATACTTTTAAGTCCTGATGGAGAAATGCAATATAACAGACGAGTTGACATGATATGGGGCAACAGATAACAGCAAAGCTACAGTAAGGACTTCACTGTGTCCAGAGATTACACGTCAGTTCTTCAGAGAGTGATATGCAGAAATATGAGGAGAAGCAACTAGGAAAGATTAACTTCATCTGTTAAGTGCATTAATAAAATTCTTCAACAACGCATTAGTTTTGGGTACTTCTGTTGGTTTCACAATCTACAGATTTTTTGGTTTTTTGTGTCCAAGCTGAGATATTCCACACACTTATACTTCAGTAACAGCTAGAATCTCTGATATGCTGAAGCTATATTACTTCAAGCCTTTTAATAATAATAACTGAACTTTATTGATCTCACATTGGAGAAATTTACCTCTGCACTTAACCTTAGGGAGCAGTTTGCTGCTATTGTGGGGCACCCAGGGTGCAGTGTGGGGTTAAGGGAATAGTACACCCAAAACATGATTAGCCTTCATTTTCTACTCACCCCCATGCTGAACAACACTCTGGAGTACTTTTTTGATATCTCAAATGCATCTGGAGATCTGGGAGGCTTCTTGCTGTCTGCTGACATTCAAATAATGGAGGTCTATGGTGCCCGAGACAGAAAGGTCCATAAAAGTCCACAAAAAACGTGTCAATATTCCTCCATACTGCTCGTCCAATGTATTCCAAGTGTCCTGAGTGGGTAGCATCCAGAATTTACTCGAAACGAAGTCATTTAGAATGTTTTTAGAGAATAAACAGTAGTGTATAGGATTTCCTGAAAGCGCGCACATGCGCGTTCACGAGCCTACGGAAGCCGGCAGACCAAACCAGCGCATTCAGCTCGGCAAAGAACTCATGCTCTTCCTCAACACTGAAGTCCTCAGACATTTTTCTTTCGTTGTTTCTTTCTTTGCACAGGTAAACAGCACATTTCTTCTTCTACGCTTGCATTATTGGCAGAGCAGACGCTGAATGCGCATTTTCATCTGGTTTGGTCTGCCGGCTTCCGTAGGCTCGTGAACGCGCATGTGCGCGCTTTCAGGAAATCCTATACACTACTGTTTATGCTCTAAAAACATTCTAAATGACTTCGTTTCGAGTAAATTATGGACGCTACCCACCCAGGACACTTGGAATACATTGGACGAGCAGTATGGAGGAATATTGACACGTTTTTTGTGGACTTTTATGGACCTTTCTGTCTCGGACACCATAGACCTCCATTATTTGAATGTCAGCAGACAGCAAGAAGCCTCCCAGATCTCCAGATGCATTTGAGATATCAAAAAAGTACTCCAGAGTGTTTTTCAGCATGGGGGTGAGTAGAAAATGAAGGCTAATCAAGTTTTGGGTGTACTATTCCTTCAAGGGTCTTGCTCAGAGACCAGGAGTGGCAGGCTGTGGGAGTGGGGCAAGAACTCACAACCAAATGATTCCAAGCGCAATGCCCTAACCACTAGGCTGTCACTCCCCTATCCCTTATAAAAATACTTACCGTAATCAGAGGAAAATGTCATAAAAAAACAACAACAAAAAAACATGGATTTTAATTAACTGTTAGGATTGCAAATTAGACTGCTCCAACAATCTGTTTTGTCTTTATTTTACTTTGAAGGACATTTAAAACATAATATAAAAAATGTCAAATTTTCGATATCAAATTGCTAAAGTTTAGTTGTTGTTTTGTTGTGCTATTGTTTAACCAACCCGTTTGGTGTCACACCATGACCCATGTTGCTCAAACAAAACAATTAGCCGAGTATCCTTCAAGAAAGGCGGATCCGTAACATTTCTCCCTGGGGTCATAATGCCATTATGTGGCGCCTTCCCCACCCTTTGAGGCCAGACAAAAGCCAACTAATTCCAAACTACAGTTCCCCGTTCTGTGTCGAGCTCCATTAAAGCAAAGGAAATAAAAATGAAACGTGACACTGGGTGAGTTTGTGAATGAGCAGTCTTCCACTTTAGCCCGCATTATCCAGCTTTCATGTGCTGTTTGGCCATAAGGCTTTTAAGCACGTTTTAAAACAACCCACGTGTGGGTGTGGTGGGGGTTAAAAACTAAACTGACTTCGTGCCATTAAATAAAAAACATACAAGCCAAAAATGTTAAATGTGCTTGATACAGACATTCAAGCTTTAAAATACCCAAACACTGTGATACCCAATTATTAAAATAGACTATAATGTAGGTTGTCATTTTATCTTCTTTAAACCAGTGTAGCACTGGACTGGATGGTCGTAATATTAGCATCTTTTTTGCTAACTTACAATTCCAGGGCCCACTCCGTGACAAGGTCTTCAACCAACGCCCTGCTCTGTTTATTAAATGTATACGGTTTTAAAGCTCAAGCTTATTTTTCTGTATATTCGTTGTGATATATATTTTTTCTCTTTGGTGTTCGTCACGTTTTGGTTTTTTGGTAGCCTTTGTTAGATCGCCCTGGACCGTTAGCTAAACCCAGGGCCGATTCTACGTTTCGTCACCACTTTTAAACCAATTAAAAAACAGAATCAGACATGACTTACCTCACGATTACCACTGAGAGACAATTTAAGTGTTATATTCTGTCCTCTTCAGTTCATAATGGGCTCAACTTTTCAGGCGCTCTGGTAAAAACAAGCAGCGACACGTTTGAAGAGGTCTTCTTCTTCGGAAATGCTATGCAGCAGAAAGCGGAGGAACAGCGCCCCCGGCTGGATCCTTCTTATTGTTATTATTCTTGCTCGTATGCTTCTTTGTGGGGTTTAATGGCGATTGGCAAACAATTTAAAAGCGCATTACCGCCACCTACCAATATTTTATTCATATAAAATTCTCGTTTTTTAACTAATATATCTACCCGCTTCAAAAACAAGAACAAATGTAAAAAAACAAAGCAAACAAACAAAAAAAACCATTATATTTCCTTTGTTGGGGTTGATGTATGGAACAAATTAGATCAGGAGCCAAATGATTGTACAACATTACCAAGGTTTAAAAAGCATATTTAAGAATAATACGATAAAAAAAATATTAAAACATGTGAATGCAATTAAGAGCAGTAAGGTATTGGTGGGTTACCTTTTTTTCCTTTCTTTTTCCTTAAAAAAATTATTATTGTAGAAATTTTTTTCCAAAAAATCATACATTGGCATGTTTTATAAACAGTAGCTATCTTTTTATCTTTTTTTTCTTTTACTTTCTATCCAATGTAAATTGGCTTTGTAGATCGGGCATTATAAGCGTCTTGCTTCTGCCAATACACCCTTTTTCAGACTGTTTTAATTTATGTTATATGGACATATACTGTCTGAAATACATACATAAATCTAAACATAATAACCCCATATCTTCTACCTTTATCTAATATCATCACTATTTACTATTAACAATATCCTTTTATGTTTTATTCTGAATAATGAATGAACTAAATCCTCCTACAGTCCCTTATATCAAACAATTGCATTAAATGTTCTACCCTATTCATATATTCATTAAAACACTATCCATAACACCTTTAATTATTTTTATCATTAACACGAGAACAAAACAACTGATGCTCCTGGTCTTCCCTCCATCTCCAACCTTGTAACTATGTTTTCCCAATTGACTTCTTTGAGTCCCCAAAACTTTTCAGCTCTTCTCGCAATGATCCAGGTCTGTACAGTTAATGACATATGCTATGAATAACGTTGGAATGAAGTCATCTTCTATTTCTGCTTTAATTTGCTTTTTTTTTTTACCTGATTCTGTGCTTAATTCCTTTCTCCTGTCCTGTATCCTTGGACTCTCTTCACTGCTTCTGCGTAGCTTATATTTCTTTGTTGTTTAAACCTGTTGTATTTCTACTGCTTTCTTTCTCCCCTCACATCCTCCATAGTTAACTCTGTGCTGGCCTCCACAGTTTCAGCACCTGTCTTCAGGTTCTTCTCCGCATTTTAAACACCTTTGCCCTCCCCTATAAACTGCTGCCACTGCTGCAGGTGTCTGAAGCGCTGACACCTGCAGCACCTGAGTGGAGGTGGAATGAACGGCCTAACTGGGAAACTCATGAAACCTATTTTGACTCTTTTTGGTAGAACTCTAGTGACGTGCTTTCCACCCTTTACCCTGGTATGTTTTTATACAATCTCTGTATCTTGTTAACCTGGCCTCCAATAATCAAATTTTCTAATCGATCCAAAACTCTCGATAATTGAAATTCCTGCTATTACTCCCTTCACTGTTTTATTCTCTCCAACTTTTATATCGATTACCTCACTTTTCCCTAAGTACTCAACATCCAAAGCTTGGTTTTTTTTTGCTCCTCATTTTTGCAACTTACCTGCAGGTTTCAATCCCTCAACCCCTTCACTAATTCGACATTACCAATTTTCTTAATTATTTTTCTGGAAATCTAAATAGGGCTTAAATTATACTGTTTTTCTTCATCATTTAATCGAAATATTATTTTTATCTTTTCTCTGACGACCTTCCCTCACACAACTCTTTCTCTATCTAAACTGCTTTTTTGAAATACCCATTTATTTCCTTGATTCTCAAACCACAATTCTCCCCTTTTACCTCGTCTATCTCTCTCTTTCCCATTTGAAACTGTTGTCCATCCTTCCTTATCCTAATCAACATGACTTGCCATTTTGTTCAATCCATGACCCATAAGGCAAAAAAAACTTCACACACGGCTGCCAGTCACCCAGCTGGATTCATTTTAATCTATACCTATATTGCCATCTATACCTATTACTTTTCCATAAATTTGGAGCTTTACTTCATTATATACACTCAGTATACATATTAATCACTCTTAAAAGGTTTCAATACACTCTATAAGCTGACAAACATATACTGTTTAGTTTTTTGGAAATAGTAGTTTTTAGTTTTTGTGGCTTTACTTTTTTTTTTTAATATATATATATATATAATACTATATTGTCAACTTAAAAACATGATAGCACCCAAAACAAAACAAGTGTCATGAAACGAGACAGATGGACCCAGTATTCAGGAGAGACAGTCAGTAGAAAAGTGCAAAAGATTTATTAAAATAAAAACAAAGCGGAGCTGTGGCTCGCGGACACTGCAGGCGGGGGGCGGGGCACCGCCCAATCTCAGACACTCTGGTTTAACAGTCCAGACCACAAGTGTCCCCAGTGCTGCAGTCCCAGAGGTGATGGAGGAAGCTGATCCTGGTGAGGGATCCAGAACAGACAGAAACAGGCAGGATCCAGATCAGGCAGGAACAGAGACAGGTGGCAGGATCCAGACTTCCAGGCATCCACAGGCTTCCAGGAGGGTTCAGAGTCTTACTGGGACCAGAAGCATGAGCAGTTGGTCACGCACAGGAGCAGACAGGATCAGGTGCAGACAGGCAGGCACAGTGGAAAAGGGTAGCCGAGACAGGACGTAGGAACCGGAACTTGAAGCAGACTTTAAACTGGTCTCCACCCTGGAGCCAGGCTTACTTAGATAAAAACTGAACCTCCCCCCATAATGAGCCAAAAACCCAGAGGACTCCGCAGGGGAGGAACAGTGGACGATCAGGAGACGAGACAAACACTAAAACCCTCTTTCCACTGGCAGCTAGGATCCAGGACACGAACCAAATAAAAACTGAACAGAAAGACTGACAGAAAGACAAGCAATGATCTGGCACTGAATGCTCAGGCTGAACTGAATATAAACCAGAGGAAACAGGTGAGAGGAATAAATTATAATTGAGGCTGGGAAGGAAGAGGGCAGGTGAGAGGAATTACTAATTAGGGGAGAGCAAACAGGCCAGATCATGACAACAAGATTATATTTTGTGTTATAGACTGACAAATGTTGTTGATGTCATGTTATCTTGTCTGATACTGGTGCATCAGTTTGTTTTTTGCAGACTTGCCAAACAATGTCAAAAGGCTGAGATGACCCAGATATACAGTTTTAACTGCAGCACATTGTTTTTATATGCTTTTCCTATTTTTTAAAACTGTTCAAAAATCTTCAACCCAGTGCACAAGTTAATGTGGAGATTATGTTCTTTATTTTTCTGTAGTGGAGGGTGTCTGTGTCTCTCCGGGCGACTCTCTAGCTGTAAATTCATTTGCGTTCAGTTATTTTGGTGTAGATATGCCTCAAGGTCAGGTTTTACACTCCAGTTAATCTAAACTTCTTTTCTGCTCCTTCTAATTTTTCCTCTACTACCACGGCAGATGTGAGTACTTGCAGAGAATTTGACTAACAAAAACATGTTTTTCACGTACAAGAAATAAGATTTGTGAGCCGCTATCGCAGTAAGACAAAATCAATATGATGTAATTGTTGAGACCTATACAGGTCTGGGGTCAGCTAGTCTTTTTTTCAAACTCCACACATCCTGCACACAAACTGTTTTGACTTTTTTTAATGTCAACACAACAGATTATTTACAAAGAAGAAGACGAAGAAAATGTCTGAGTGCAATTTTAAACCAAATTTGATTTTCTTGTTTGGCTTGATTGTAATTTTATTTTGTGACTTAAAAGTGATTTGAATCATAGTTGCATGTATTTCTGTCTTTCTGACAATTCAAGAGTTATATTTTAATTTCTGCGATGGACCGGACCCTGTCCATGGTGTATCCCTCAAAATATTGTCAAACGAAAATTGTTAAAATCCACCAATATTAGTGCAGATAAATGTGACAAAATAAAGTGAGAATAAAAAGAGAATTCATTAGATTTTTTGTGCTGGTTAATATTTTTAGTAAATACTATAAAAAATAAATCGAATGATTTTAATCCAGTCAATTTAAATTCTCCACTTTGGATACCTTGCAACCTTATTAATATCCAGACATTACAATGAAATACCCTTTAAAAATGACTGATTTAGGGTAAACTATAAAGTGAATGATTTAGTTGTATTTTTTTCTTTCAGCTCAAAGTCGTCCCTCTGCCTCAGCAGGTTTTGTAGGACTTTATCAGGATAGAGGAAAAAAATCCTGTTCCGCTGCAGGTCCTGGGACTTCATAATACGAGTCAACAAAGCTTGTTGGATGGATGGAGACTCACAGGCTTGATGCTGAACGTTGTGACTTACATTTCTTTGAGGCTCGATGACTAATAGACCAAGCTTGCTGTCTGTCTCCTCCCTGAAACACTGAGGTGCTGAAGTATTCAGGACAGTGACATTTCTTCCTCTCAGCTCACTCAGTTGAAAGTCTTCACAGCTTCTGTTAACTCCTGAGGAGGCCTTGTTAGTGTTATCGTCTGGGTTACCCAGTGCAGCACTGGTGCTGGAAGTGTTGGTAGTTTCAACCCTGCTTGCTGGTTTCAGGGGCCTTGCAGCTTCAGTCACCATGATGTTTTTACGTAAATATGCTACATAGCCTTGAAGGAGGCGATTAAACCCGGTCTTATAAGACAGACGCAGAGACTCGATGGATCCAGACGGCACAGAGTGAAGACGAACCTGTTGAAGGAGCAACAAGGATGCTCAGAAAGGAGCACTGTGATACAGGATTTGTTCTGTTATTGTTTTACTCCTTCAAAATGTTTTCATCTGAGACAAACTTAACTGTAATAAGGAAGGAAAGCAGCTGTCAAATGATGATTTAACAAAATTACTTCTAATTCACTACTAACTTTAAGCAAGTAATGCATGGTGAAAAACCATCCAGTGTTTGTAAAGTAAAGCAATTGATTAGTTAGTCAAAAAAGTCCTGAAAAGAGAAAAAAAGACATATTGACAGCTGTTTTGGAAAGCCTTGAATTCCTCATTTGAAAACAGCCTTTTTATATGAATGCAGATTATCTGTAATATAAAATAGGGCCAAAATAATTAATCGGATTAATCTTGATTTATAATTTATTAAAATAATTGATAACTGATTTAGTAATCGATTAATCGTTAAAAGGAGTATCAAGGCTCTAAATCAGCCCTTTAGCTGACAGAGAAGTAATTATAGCAAAATTGTAAAAAAAAAAAAAAATATATATATATATATATATATATATATATATATATATATATATATATATATATATATATATATATATATATATATATATATATATATATATTCTTATTTATCTTTTTCATTTAAGATAAAAAAAAAACTTTTTCGTCTGTCAATATGCTCTATCCAGAACTCCACGAGTGGAAAAGCTTTAGTTTCACCTGATTTAATTTAATAAAAAGTCTTCTTTAAGCAACATTTGGCTATCTGAAAAACCATCTACAGATTAATTGATTTGCAAAATAATTGCTAGTTGCAGCCCTTATACAAAAGTTAGTTCGATAATCTGAAAGATCTTAGACTGATTAGGAAAAAGAAAGACTATTTAAAAAAATCTTAATAGGGTTAAATATTTGACAAAAATGACATTTTTGTAAAATTACAGGTGTTGTGTCCCATTGCTTAGTGTCGTGATTTATTGATGCCAGATTGTGTGTGTTTGAAAACCCAAGTGTCCATTTTTTAACTTGTACAACATGAAGAATCTGATGTGAACCTGATTTATCATAATTCCTGTTTATGTTGATGTTTTCAAACCTCTGTACATCATTTCATGGGTGAAGAGAAAAAAGAAGCTCTTTGCTCCAACTAATCCGATCTTTTGATTTCCAAACTATTGTAAATGATCTGACCTGGTGGATCCTGAGGTGCAGATGAAAAGCAGCCCCTGCCAACCACTGCTGCATGGACTCTGTGCTCATTCTCTTCTTATTGTTCATCCTGTCGTAATGGTCAATCAGCTCCAGGTTAAGCAGGTTGTCGCAGAGCTCAGTGATCTCAGCCATTTTCTCCTCATCGTTGGCAATGCTGGGTACAAGGCTGAGGTAGCTATGGATAATCGAGCCAATTCTTGATGATGTGCTGATTCCTAAAATCCTCTCCCCTCTTGATGCCTTAGGGGGAGGGAAGCCTTCTGCTGAACCTTGTGCTCTGACCTGATCAAAAACACAGGTTTTGATAAGCTTGGTTTTGGCATTTTACCAAAAAAATAAATAATCTAAGTGAAGTAGTAGTCACATAGTGTATATTTTACCTACATGTTGTGCGACCTGGTCAAAAAGCAGGGACAAAGCTAGAGCGACGACCCCTACGCCTCCATATGTGACCCTGCAGCAGCCCACCTCTGCAGTGAGGTTCAGATTGAAGGCCGCCTGTTGTTCGCTGCTCAGGCTCTTCTGCAGGAAGCCGTACTGGTGCTGCAGAGCAGCAGAGGAGTCCAGCGACAGGAAAGTCGTCAGGACCGGATCCAAAGAGATGTCTGGGATGATGTCAGCATCTCGAGCCACTGAGAAGAGCTCCTGGACGGTGGCTGTGGATGGGAGACACAAACTAGGAGCAGTCAGGATCATGGCTGAAGCTTTCTGTCCGAGTGCTGCGAGATGAAGCTTATCTCTGTTTGTTTAAACCAGTCAGGGTGAGGTTATCAACATGCTAAGTTAACAAATTTCTGAACATCTGGTAAATAAGATCCAGGCTTCTGCTTCTGCCCAATAAAAGGTTTCTGGAACATATTTAATCTGCAAGTGGAAGCTAGGAGTGAGTATTTCTTAAAAATGTACAGCACTAAATGGTGCAGTAAGGGTTTGTGATCCAATTGTCATACCAAGCTTATCTTTGTACCTATTAATTGTTTTACGTCTTATTTTTTATTCCTCTCAAAAAGGGGAAAGAAAACTCTGTTAATAATACAAAAATTAGTCTGTCAAGCCCTACCTTCTCTTTTCCACTCTTCCCCTAAGAGGATATCAGATGTTTCCCTAAACGCATCACTGGCACAAATGTCATATTGATTTTTGTTTATAATCATTAATTTGGTGCACAATTTCAGATCAATGCAGAGTGATAAAAACACATCCTGCCCTTTAGATTAGACAGATTTCAGCTGCAGTCAATCCAAACATCTTTTGTTCCCCATTATGGAACATTAAAGGGATGTTCTCTTTTTTATTTTAAAGTCTGTCTCTATGGTAAATAAATGTGCTTCAACCAAAATGGTATATTATACAAAAGTTTTATGTTTAAAGTCTTTGTAATAAAGTGTAAGGGTTAGCACATACACTTTTATTTATTTTAAATAAAAATGGACAGTATTATTCATTTCAGAATCAGAACTTAAGTTAAAACTGACTCAATGGTAGTTAAAACAAACTTTAAAGGTAAAAAAAAATAAATAGGTACAAGGGACAAATCAGTAATAGTGTTGTTATCAAAGAATATCATTAAAAGACATTTATCAGGCACTAGGTCCTAGATACCGGGACCAAACCAGGGGCCAGGACCATTGCCCCTGTCTTAAACTGCCTATTCCCAAGCTGAAATCTCTGCTTTTAAAAGTGTTTGCCACACTTTTATAGAAAGACAATACGTTTGAACAGTGTTCAGTATTTTTCCTTTGAGCACCACTGTTTGAGACACATTTCCAGAGGTGCCACTTACTATAACTCTTAAGAAGCTAACCACTGCTTTAAACACTTTTCTGGTATCTCAAAGCCCAATGTCAGAGAACCTTCACACCTATTCATCTGTTTACAGTGCAGTAACTGTTTACAGCATCTTGCTATTACCTTTGGAGCCAGTTAAAATGTAACCTATCTGACAGTTTTTAACCAATCGGACCGTGGTGTCTCTGTAAAGGGCCTTGAGATGACATTAGTTGTGAATTGGCGCTATATAAATAAACAGATTTAGATTGAATTGAAATTATTCTCAGATTTTTGCTCAACTTGCTACTTTAAGTGATGTAAATGTACCCTTTAATATGTGTAGTTTATCATATGAGATACATGAACTTACAATAAGATTAGATTTACAATACAATATGACAGTTAGGGATGTTGAAACAAATTTTTACTTTACTACATTAACATTTGAAAAACATTTTGGGGAAAAGCATATTTATTTCTTCGTAAACGTTCGTACTAACTCTGTCTTTTAGGCCAGTCACAGGACATGTTCGTGCACTTTTGTGACATCATGAACAATACTTTCAGAAACTAAGCCAAAATAATGGGAGAAAACATGCGGAATGGGAAAGGGGGAGGTAAATAAATTATCAAAAAGAAAGAAACAGAATTATGGCAAAAAATATGTGATGAAGATGAGAAAGGAAGAAGATTTTATAGCGTTAAAAAATCTGTAATTGTTAAAAATTATGGAGAAAGGAGCCGAAGGGAAGAGATAATTTATACCAGATTAAGAACTGGACATACCTACTTGAATTAGTTTTTGTTTGTACTAGGGAATCGAAATAATGATGTATGTGAGGGTTGTGAAAGAAAATAAAATGTGGATAATGTTTTGATGGATTGCATTAAATTTGCAACTGAAAGAGAGAGGATGAGGAAAGTAATCATGGAAAAAGGGAGAGGATGGAGTATTAAAGGAATTTCAGGGACAGATGGAGATAGGGAGGAGAATTTGGTTATTAATAAAGCATTGTTTTTATTTTTACATAACACAAAAATAAAAAATAGAATATAGTAGGTGGAACCATAGAGCTACACACTCTAAACGATTTCAATTCCTTTTGGAAAAGGGGAAGGGAAATCACTTATTAAAAGTAAAGAAATGGAGGAATGGCAAAAAATATGGAACGAAGATAGGAAAGGCAGAAGATTATATGAAGTGCAAAAGTCAGTTCGAATTCGAAACATTAATGAAAGAAACAGAAGAGAAGAAATAATAGTTAGTAGATTAAGAATAGGTCATACCTACTTAAATGACATGCTTTATTTAATAGGGAGGAAAAATAGTGAGAAATGTGGTGAAAAAGAAAATGTAGAACACATACTGATGAACTGTAAGTTATATCAACACGAAAGGGAAAAATTAAAGAGAATAGTTAGAAGTATAGGGCATGAATGGAATATTAAAGGAATATTAGGAAATGAAGGAAACATAACAGATATTCATAAACTAAGGAAAGCATTGTTTATGTATCTTAAGAATACAAAATTAAAAAATAGAATCTAATAGATGTGAAGTAACGCTGCTACACACTCATGTACAGTAGGTGGCGGTATGCATCTTAAAGTTGCTTGTGATCCGCCATAATAGAAGAGAAGAAGAAGAAGCTACACACTCATGTACAGTAGGTGGCGGTATGACCTTTAAGCTGTTTGCAATCCGCCAATCTAACAAAGAACAAGAAGAAGAATCTAACAAGAAGAAGAAGAAGAAAACACGCGAAAATGAAGCTAAACGACTCCAATCGAACAGTTTAACAATTCACATTATTGATAAACATGTGTTGACCGAAAATTTCTCGTGTTAAAACCCACCGATTCGTATTTCTTCCGACGCGTTTACGTCACTGTACGCGTCACCGAAGCGTCACGACGCACAATAGGTGGTTTCCTGCTTCTAGTCGGGTGAAAACATAACAAGTGAGTGCATTATTGAATTACCTCGGTTTTATGATATTTTAATAACTTTAAGGTAGAATTGCGCCGACTTAAAGTGACCGTTAGAGCGCCCTTAAAGCGACTAAATAAAAGCTAATTCTATTAGCCAGCTAAAGCTGCAGTGTTTTGGGAAAATCTACCCACTTATGTACAAAGTATTAAACACAGGGCTTATATAAGAGAGATATTGTGCAAAAAAGTACAATTAATCGTTTAAATGTAATTCGATTAACTCAAGTAAAAAATAAAGGTTATTAGTAGGTAACTATCGCTGCAAAGTCATACATCTTAGCTGCTCTTCAGTCAAAAAAACACAAGCTAGATTTATTTTTAAGATGGGGACTTTATTATCTCTATCACGTGATAATAAAGTCTTTCAGTGCTCTAACTATTTCCCCAGTGCAATATAGATTTTATTACATTACCTTTTTAGCCGTTTTTAGCAAGCACCTTTTTTAACGATGGTATTTGTCTTTGTTTTGGTGTTTAATTTTATTTTAGTCGATCTATTGGTGATTTTTATTCATTGTATTTTTATGTTTGCCACTTCAAAGTTTGGAACTGGTTATTAGCATTAATATCTACCAGTAAGCTCATTGAAAGGAAAGGACAGAACTTATCAACATTGTCCTTCAACATTAACCATTGTGCAGCGACCGGGGGGCAGTGTGGGGTTAAGGGTCTTGCTCAGGGGGCCAGTCTGTGGAAGAGGGGGATCGAACTCACAACCTCAGGATTCAAAGCCCTGTGCCCTAAACACTAGACCGCCACTCCTCCTAACTTTGGTCAGACCACAATCAACTTTTATATCATGTTTAAAACTCTAACATATTTGGACATTGCTCCAGCTTCAGCACTGGAAATATGGAACTGTTGCTTTATTGTTCTTAATCTTCTGTGTAATATTATCACACAAACATTAATCCCACATTCCTTCCAGTCTCTTGAAGTTTTCTGGTTGTTGATTTTTTTAAGCTTTATACATAATTTAAGTTGGCTGCAGTTAAACTGTCTGTACTTTTTTTTTTAAATCATTTTGATTGGTTAAATAATGAGTTGATGTCATCCAGATACAAAACCTCATAATTTACTCTCCTTACATATATATTTTTCATTTTTAGGGGTCAATGGTAAACAAAGCAGAAGGCAAGATAAGCAATAAAACAGCTGACTAATAAGGGGAATTTTGCAGAGATTTTAAAAATATTCTCCAGAAGGGAAACAGTGGATAGGTCGTTTTTTTTTTTTTTCGTCATATGGTAACTTTAGTAAATTCCAACTCATTCCTAATTCCTCTTAGATTTGTCACTTCCTGAATCACTGCAGGTATTTTAAACTAAAAATGTTTGTTTTGTTTTCAACTTTGAGGAAGTGTTTTTTTTTTTTTTTTTCCTTTTTTTATTGTGCAGTTTTGGTCAATGTTTTCCAATGCCATCTGTATGAATGAGGAAGAAAATGGAGAAAAAACTTCAATAGATCTGCACATCCACCGCTAGGTGTTGTTAAATCAGCACTTTCTTTAAGTCTTGTAAATGGCCTCAGCAAACTTCAGGAATCTGCTGTTTTTTTAGATGTTCTCAAATGCAGTTTAACAGTAACTCTGCTGCAATCAATAAACTTAAATCATTCCTGTAAATAATTTAAGTTGGGTGCAGCATTGCAAGGATTTCAGCTGGAGTAACAATAAAAGGACTGGTTGGCTCTGGGAAGCAGAAAGGCTCGGCTTATAGATATCCCCTTATAAATAGCTAATAAATAGTGTGTTACTATGTTGATTAATTTGTAAAAACTTTATAACTGATTCATAAGTATTAATTATGCATTCACAATGTTATGCATGCTAAAAAGATATATATTTGTATAATCTTGTGAAGATCCTCAGTCATCCAGGTCATAGTCATTTAACAAAACAGGAAGCTTTTTCAATTCAAATTGTCACTCTATAAAACCTCGAACTCAACGCTATTTCTGACATTTTGAATTGACAAAGCTTCCTGGATGGGAAGCGAAACGTCTTCAAACTTGGAAACAAAGTCTAGTGGATTGTTTTTTTAAACTTTTTTGGAATATAAATTTGTATATTTTACTTTTGTTTACAAGGTAGTAAGTTAGCTGGAAATGTTGAATATAAGCAAAGCTTATAGTGGAACAGCTTAGGCTCACTCTTTGGGAGTCAATTCTGTCTTTAATTCATAAATAACAAACAAGAATACATTTAATCTTCAATGCCTGTCAGGACACCCAAGGTCACTGTAAAAAAAGTCTGCCAAACACAAAATACACAATATTAAAAAACAGTGAAGATATGCAGATGTGTTTACAGAATAATTTATAACATAGCTAAGAATATTTACTACACATTAAAATGAGCGGTGTTAATGTAACACTTAAAGAGTCAATTTCAACACTGAGCCAAGTTACATAAGGTCCTGCCCTGTACAGTGTTAAACTTACACTGATCACAATGTCAGAATTTTACTCAAATTTTTACTCTAGTAGTAGTTAAATTTAGTTATAGAGTAAAATAAGAATTATTCTGACAATTGTTAACTTAGTTTAACACAAAATCAATACTAAGTGGAGAAAAATGAACTCTAAAATTCTGACACCGAAATCAGTGTAAGTTTAACACTGTACAGTGCAGGACCATATGTAACCTGGCTCAGGGTTGAAATTGACTCTTGGTGTTAAAGTACAATTTTATTTATCTCAAGGTGTACAGCCAAAACTTAAATAAGAATTTTGAGGAAAAACAACCCTCAATATATCCATATCTTATCAATTTAATAATTTCAGCTCAACAGCAAAATGCCAATAAAAACTTGGCATAGAATAAAAAACAAAAAACATTTGATTTTTCATATATAGACCATCTTTTAAATCTAAATACAAACCAACCATTGAAATATTGTCAGATGAAAACATTCCACATATTTGTAAAAATAGATTGCAGTGTATAGCTACCAGCTTTAATAAATTTACAGAAAAAGGAACATTTAAAATGTATTTATAAAAAAAATTGATTGTAAACACAGTTATTTTAACAAGGTTTTCTGACTTATTCCAGATGAAATTCTGAGGAGAAAAAATGTAAAATGGAGGCACTTACCGTGGTTTTCCAGCGAGGAGAAGCAGATAAATGGTGCAGAGAAAATTCTAGACTGTTCCAAGCATGAGGGCAGATATTTTCAGAGTAATTTTCACCATAACTCCGAAAGAATGAACTTTTAAACACTTAACAGATTACACTATCAAAGGTCCTTACCAAACCGATTTCAACTCGAAATATTTTTACCAACACTCAGTGTTGTGGTCAAGACCACCTAACCCGAGACCAAGACTAGAGTGTATCGAGACCGAGACAAGACCAAGACTTTTAGGCTCGGAGACCAAGTCAAGACCAAGACCGAGGGAAGTCGAGACCGAGTCAAGACCAAGACCAGCGCCAGTATGTGACAGTTAAATGTGAAACATGATCAAAATCACTAAAATTGATCTAAAAGACCCACATTCACATAAAAACACCTAGATATTTAACACACAGAACTGGAATAAACATAAACATCTTTATTTAGTACTTCTGTGTATTAATCACAGAATTTCAAACAATTAATCAAAGTTGATCAAAATAGTATTTTCTTTGCCTTTCATGAACAGTACATACATTTATGTTGTTTTTAAATGTGCTATTTCAAAACAATAGACAAATGTATAAAACTGAAAAAATGCCAATCATTTCTCTTGTTTCTCTCTCATATACAGATTAAAGCTATATTATATAACTTTTCTTAAATAAATCCATATCTGTCACCAAGTTGTGAAAATATGTTATGAGACAGATAATTTCTTGAAAAAAAAATAGATTGATCTCCTTCACTTCCTCCCTGAGCTACTACTGACATCTGCAGAAATACAAACCCCACTGAAATACATGCACAAAAGCCTGACTGACTTTTTTCAGTTCAAAGACCCTGTTGCTGAATCAGATGGTTTGATTTTGACCAAGCAGTGTATTTCTCTAGTTAGCACTGGGAACTTGGAGAAAAGGCAGAAGTGCTCAATATTTTCACAGCTTGTCGGTCTCATAACATACTGTCACAACATAATGACTTAAATATGTAAAAAAAAATATGAACTACATAACTTTTATAAAGATATTTTTTTTAATCAAAGTTACATACTGCATCTTTAACTTTGCTGTTGAATGAATGTAGCAACTTATACATAACATACATAATAAAGAAATCTTACATTTAGAGGCCCAACTGTATGTGTCTAAAAAATAAAATTACACAACTGGAAGCAGTTTCATAATAGAATTTGATACCAAGGAGCTAGCTAGCTTTCCTAACATCTCTTTTACACGTAGCTTACCTTTCTTTGTGCTTTCATTCAAGGTGTCGATAAAAGTTGGACGTAGTCCCTACCATCTCTGATAGTGAAGCACTGCAGAACTTACATTGCGCTGTATACTTTTTTCTCAATGTTGCTTTACAAATATATTCTTTATGGTTTTAATAGCCGAATTTTATAACCGATGATTTGGCCGACATCTTATCCCGTTCTCATACAACCACTTGTGACTATCAATCAGCAAAAAAAACATGCATTTACCAATGAGACAGGTTATTACTTGGATTTGAATCCAAGTATCCAATAAAAAGAAGGATCTTAAAGAAACTGATAATATTCCGATGATTAGAGTTATTTCCACAGTTGTGGTCTTGACCGGTCTTGAAATAAAATGCCAAGTCCTCAGCGCCCGAGACAAGACCGAGACCAAATGCGGTCAAGTCCGAGACGAGACCATCAAAAAATGGTCTCGAGACCAAAACCGATCTCGAGTACTACAACACTGCAATACACAATGAGGTATTTTACACTCACTGTTGTTGGAATGACTTTTATAGGGTTAACACTGACAATTTGACTCTGAAATTTACTGTGTAGCCATCCCTGTAAGCGGAGCCCTATTTTTAAGTGGTATGCAGCTTGCAGTAGGGGCCTGTATGAAGGTAAAATAATGGTACCATTACTGATCATTTCTTATAGAGCAGGAGTTCAGAATCCTTTTAGAGTTCTCTCTTCTGCTCTCTTTGCGCTTTTTATTGGAGACTGATATGAACATGGAGGATTGATGATTCTGTTTCTCTGTAGGCTTGGTCTGATGTTTTGGAACATTGTGACAATGAAAAAGACCTGCTGAAGACTGGTTTTCAGTCTTTCATCGCAGAAATCAAAATGTTATATTTAAAAATGACCTGGTATTTCATTGACTTCATGACTCCTTGCATTAAGGTGCTCAGACTCTTTAAATGAGAAACTAAAGAGGGGCATAGCATTACAGACCCTCCACCATGCTTTACAATGAGAGGATTCTCCAATTCATTTCCAAACCTGTTGGAATGTTTGTTGCAAAAAAAAAAAAAAAAAAAATGTTTTACCTGATCTAAGAATTTTGATTTACTGTCTAAATGATAAATAATATTTTTCTTTTGTTTTGTTGTTTTCTCTTTAGGGCAATTTTAAATGTGATTGCTACAGTATTATTTGTATTATACTTCATACTTTATAGAACTGGTGTCTTTCACTGTGGAAATCAAACCGTTAACTGAGGTATCATTAGATTAAGGTTGTGGTCCAACAGTTTTATTTGCTCTACTACCCACTATTATCATGTTTTTGTCTATACTTGCTTTTATTATGATATTATTTTTGTCAGGTCTAAGCACCTAAAACATCATATAGGGAAAGAAAGAAGGCACAAAGACAATTAATTTAGTTTTACTTGCAAGGAGAGTAGGAAGAGACTGTGGAGTTTACAAATCTCCAACCCACTCTGCGGTCCCAGTGTTCTCCTCACTATTTATTGAAATCAGTGGTCCCTGGTTACAACAGCTGAGACTACACTGGGGGGGGAACAAGATAAGGAACTCAGACTTGCAGTCTCAGTAAACATATCCTCTAAATCTCAGGGTTCAGTCAAAGTTTAAGCTGTTGAAACTGTTCATCAAAGTTCAGCAGGTTGAGTGCTGCTCGTAAATTAACCACAACCTCCCCAAAAGCAAATCTACAAATCTCAGCCTTCTTCAGAAAAGATGGCTATGAACACATGCACATAGCACACAGCTTTATGCGTTTTAACACTACACAGATACATTTATATACAGTTATTATTGTGATTGTGGGAAAGATTGCTGTGGCATGCAGTCACTGCCATACAGTTACCCAAGAAAGACTGTTAAAGAGTACTTAACAGTTGTTGTTTTTTTAAATTGTCACTTATTTAGAGTTCATATCTCCCAGCCCTAACATACTCAAACAGATCTTAGTATTATCTTAACTTTCGAAAAGGATGGGAATCGAGTGTCATTAACCATCTCAATGGTTTACATTTGTGATGGTAGGACAGAAAAATTCATTAATCCTTCAGACTTAGTCAGCGCTCTTCACGGTTCTCTAACAGACCTTTTTTTTTAATTCTCCTTTAGCCTCCTCCTCACTGTGTGCAGTGCTACTGGTTATATGACTCTATCCATTCCTGTTTCCATTTGCTCCGTTTGTTGTTTTTTGTGCTTATTACTCAATGATTTAATTTCATGATAAGATTAAGATAAAAGAATTGTGTAAATATTAATTTAATTTGATGTGAATGTTGACGCATATATGCACAACAAATGACTCAAATTTTTTTAATAAAAAAAAAAATGCAAATGCTGGATTGTTTCCACATGTGTGTCACGGATGTTTTTATTTCCAGCTGATTGCTGCGATAACGAGTGTCACAAACAGGCAGCAGCAGAGAAATCAGTCTGCTCAGCGGCGCATACAGACACACTAATAAAACAAATGATGCTTTTTCCATTCCAGGTCATCCAGCATTATGAGTCAGCGGACAGAGCGCCGGGGCATACACGTGGACCAATCAGACCTGCTGTGCAAAAAGGGATGTGGTTACTATGGGAACGCAGCGTGGCAGGGGCTGTGCTCCAAGTGCTGGCGGGAGGAGTACCAGCGGGTGCGGCAGAAGCAGATCCAGGACGACTGGGCCTTGGCAGAAAAGTAAGAGCAGCTGGTGCCTCACTAAAATCCTCCCCGAGGAAGAAACGGTTAAACATGCTGAACATGTTCCGCTTCTTCACAGCTTTTCCATAAACTTGTTTATACCAGAAGTGCCAACTTCGCCCACAGCCTGAAACTGTTGACCGCTTTCCTCTCCTCACTGAGCTCTCTTGCCTTTTTGCCCCCTCCCCCCCCCCCCCCCCCTGCTGCTGCAGGTTGCAGAGAGAAGAGGAGGAGGCGTATGCCAGCAGTCACGCCGTCCACTCCCAGTCCGCTCCAGGACACGCCTCCCTCACCCCCTTCTCCAAGTTTGAGGAGAAGAAAACCAACGAGAAAACTCGAAAAGTGACGACCGTGAAGAAGTTCTTCAGCCCTTCGTCACGAACTGCCTCCAAGAAAGGTGCTCCTTGATTTTTTTACGGGATATTTTTAGTTTACCTCACACCACAATGTTTGCTGTTTTTAGTTTTTACTATGCTGCTGCTCTTCAAAACATAATACAACTTAAAGGAGCCTGAGTTTTAATGGTTTTGGCATAATCATAGTTTTATGTTATAAACCAGGGATTTCTAAACTTTTAAATCGAAAGAGTCATTATACCCTGAGCCAAGCAAAATAAAAGTAGTTCAGAGCTGCAAATAAATACTATACAACTAAATACTACACAAGTATTTTTCTTTTCTGCAATATGAGATGCATTGCCAGTTTATTTGTATTTTTATTTTTTAACCCTTTAACATGTGGGCCCAATCCCAAACCTGCCCCTTAACACTTCTCCTGAGCACTGACCCTCCGTTTTCGCATTCCCGCAGAGGGTTCTGCCACATTAAAGGTCCTCCCCCTACGTAGTGGTTAGGGTGAGTGCACTGTTCGGCCCTTAAATAGCAAGTCTGCATCAGTGCAGGCTCGCTGGAATTTGGCAGCAGCTGTAATGGTGAACTAAAACGCGTTTATTGAAATGTAAGTTCTGCTAGTTTGTGGCAACTTCGTCACACTGACAGAAAATCACAAGTAATGAAAAACATACAAACATAATTAACCCCTAAAGAAAAGGTCCTCTTTGAAACAGTTTTATTTGACTGCATATAGTTATTTTTTAAAAAGGGGCAACTGTGCCACAGAGCTAGAGCCATGCATATGTGTTGTCATAGCGGGAGTGCTTTCCTTTTCCATTTGAGGGAAGAAGCCGTCCCATTCTCGGTTATACCCCCTTCATCAATCAAGGAGCCTTCCACAGCTACGAGTGAGACTTAATAGTTAAGGGTTAGTGATCAGGGGGCGGTTTGGGATTCAGCCACAGCGTGAAGCTCTCTGAGGCTCATCTTTACATGATCAGCCTGGTATTTTTGTTCTTGAAAAATTCTAATTTGTACAATCAGACACAAGAAGGAAACAGAAAACTATAATAAGTGACAAAGAAATGCTTTATTTATTTCAAATGACACAATTTCTTTCTGTATTTTTAATTATTCAAAATTGATGATTTTATTTAGTTGTTGGATCATTCAATGACAGCTTTAGTTTCAAATACATTCGAAAGAAATTCTGTAAATCATTTCAAATTTTAGCCTTTAAAGGAAATAAGGACAAGACATAAACGTTTCCTAAGTTGGATTTTCATTTATAAGATACTCTTTTATGTTAACAAAAATAAGACGTAGTTTCCAAACCGATGACCAGAAGTATAAATTTAAATTTGTCTGGTTTAATGTCATTCTGTTGTGAAAATCCAGTTCAGATGTTATTTATTAAAGTCTGCAAAAAAGCTTCTCAGAATGGTATTTGTTAATATACTATGTTCAAAACCAATAGTTTTTTGTAGTTTTTTGCCACTGGGCAACTCTAATGAAAAAATCCCTCAGGATTGTCCTATATTTATGTATCCTACTATTAACAGAGCAGTTTCTTTGTCCCTGCTGAAGCAAGGCATCACTGCAACATGATGCTGCCTCCACCATGCATGCATACACAACACTTTCCACTTTGTTTTTACAATGATTGCATGTAGGCAATTAGCAAAGAGTATAATCCCTTAACCTCCCCCTTAATTTCTTATCAGAAACTCAGGAAGGAAAGACACCAAGTCCATCGATCAGCCGCCACGCAAGCTTTGATACGGACCAGGTGTCTAAAGACTTTGTGGAGTTCTTGAAAAACCTTTATAAACCCGGCCGGGAGATCCACAAGCAATGCCGGGCCTTTCTTGTGAGCATGTCAAACAAGAAGGTGGGTTCTACTCCGAGAGGTTTCTCCATGTTTGCACAGAACCATTACAAAGGCATAGCCAATCTCTCCTTTCTTGTTTGAACAGGACCTGGGTGCAGACGAGCTGTCAGAGTGCGTTCAGGATTTCTACCAGAGCTTGGCCGACCGCTTGATTAGTCACTTTAAAGGTGAGCACGACAAAGTTCAGCCATAATCATTCAGCAGAATCTAAATAGAGCAGGGAGAGTGACCACCACCAGATGGCAGCACCATTAGGATCTCATTCAGTTTTCTTCATCAGGCTCCTCTGAATCGGTGGAGCAGGTGATGGACCAGGTGGAGAAGTACATCATGACCCGGCTTTATAAGAGTGTCTTCTGTCCAGAAACAACGGATGATGAGAAGAAGGATCTGGCCACACAGAAGAGAATAAGGTGCGCCCTCTGGGTTCTGATCCTACCACAGAAAAACAGTGTAAAGCATTATGTTAATGCGTGGAAAATATGTTTGTCCGCTCGGACTGTAAGTCTCAGAAAGCTGCCTTTAACCTTAAGCCATCTGGTGTCGAGGTTCATTACACAGCTGCCATTTCTAGCCGGGCTCTTCGTGTTTCTGCCGGCTGCATGCGTTAGCGTCCCGTGGAGGGGAATGACACCAGCAAATGAGAAGCTGGCATCATATGCTGAGAGCTAACCTTTAGGGTTACATCTTCTGAACACAGTGTGATGATGGGTTGTCTTGCAGGGCTTTGCACTGGGTGACCATCCAGATGCTGTGTGTGTCCATGGATGAAGAAATCCCCGAAGTCTCTGAGAATGTGGTCAAAGCCATAACAGGTGGGAAAGAGGTTTCCCCAGAAATCTGGGTTCATTTAGATAACGATTTAAGATCTATAATTGGGATAGATTTATATATATTCAAAAAATATTTAAAGGATTTTGTTTTGTGTAAATTACATTTCATCTCCTTTGATCTTAACATATAGTAACTATCAGCTGCTTAGAGGTTATGTACCAAATATTAAAGGTAGCTGTCACAGAACTTAAAAAACAGTCAAAAAACTTCCTTAGCTTTTCTTCATTATCCAGGCATCTGGTAACACACCTTTTTTTTTAATTACCCAGGTTCACACCTATTCTTTTTTTCCGTTAGCCCAACTTAAATTTTACCTTTCTCTATAGTTGCTATGGTTTTTTCTTTATGTTACCGTAGTGTGTACCTGCATGCTTCCTATTGCATTTTAGTTTGCTGCCGATGCACATGAAAATTAATGATATTACTTCTTGTATAAATCTAGATTGTGTTTTATTATTATGAAAACAACAAACAAAATTTTGCAGAAACTCCCAACTAAAATAAAGCACTGACAAAGATTAATAACACATGTGGTACATATAAAACACCCATAGGATACAAAATAAAAGAAAGTGTCTTAAAAAAAATATTAGAAACACCTGCAGAACTAAGAAAGACTTTGAAGAAAAATATGTTCATAAAAGAGGGAAGAGAGGAGTGCTGAGAACTCACCCTGATCTAAATGTGGGTTTCCGTTTCCTCACCATCTGGGGCCTGCTGGTGATAAACTCACTTGTAACTTTCCGCAACCCCCATAACCAACAGGTAATTTTAAAGAAGGGTAATGATCATTATAGAGATATTTTAGTTAACATTACAGAACCTGCAGGTTTCAAAATGTTTGATTATTATCAATCAAGAAAAACCAGTTGACCAGTTCTTTAAGTTTACAAGTTTCTGTAACCTTATTTTCTCGAGCCATGCAGATATGATTTATCCTTTTAGGACTGATTTATTATCTTTTCCAAGAAATCAACATGTTTCTTCTGATACAATGGATTAAAAATAGAAAAAAAGAAATATTTATTAAATTTTTTCGGGTTAAGTGACTTGCTGTCAGCTAGAAGGAAATCATCAATGCAGCAATTACCCAATTACTTGCCTATTTGGTTTGTTAAAATCAGGTTTTCACTTTTATCTTCAGGCAGTAAATGATACTATATGGTTTAACACCAATATACATTTAAACTAAAAGGATTATCTGTCCCCTGTATACTGTAAGCTCATTAGTAGATTGTGTTACAGTAGTAAAGGAAGGCCTCTTGTTTTATTTCAGACGTCATTGAGATGGACTCTAAGAGGGTTCCCCGGGATAAGCTTGCCTGCATCACACGCTGCAGTAAACACATCTTCAGTGCCATCAGGATCACTAAAAATGAGCCGGCCTCCGCCGACGACTTTCTCCCTGCACTCATTTACATCGTGCTGAAGGCTAACCCTCCACGGCTACAGTCCAACATCCAATACATTACACGATTCTGCAACCCCAGCAGGCTGATGACCGGGGAGGATGGATACTACTTTACCAACCTGGTCTGTTTTTGCTTCTTGCCCTACTTCAGTTCTAATTAAAGTTGGTTTACAAGGCACGGGCTGGTTTAATGAGGTTGACTTGTTTCCTTTTTGAAATCTATTAAAAATTAAACAGCATTGAGTTCAAAATGAGCTAGAACTGTCATCCAGCAGTTACAGTTTAGATCTACTCAAAATCAGATCGGGTGAAGGTAGGTCAGTAAAATAAAGTAAAATAATACACATGTTCATGTTTCGCTGGAGGATTTTTCTGCAGGTTTTCTGCTGTGTGTTCAATGTCCAGTAGTCCTTGAACTTTTAGGTTACATTATTTGAACTTGATGGTACATTGATAGATCTTAGATGTCATTGAAATTAAACTTTTTGGTCACCTTTTAGATCTAACCCTGAACCAGGTAGTTACTTTTATTTACCTATTACATAGGATACCTTCCGGAACTTTTAGGTTGCGTTAATGGAGTTTTACATTGCATATTGCATATATAGATCTTAGATGTAATTAAAAAGTAACTCTTCCGTCACCTTTTGATCTCACACAGAACACTTTCCTTTACCCTTTAAGACAGATACTTTCCAGAACTTGGAAGTTGCATTGGTGAAACTTAGCATTAAATTTAGAGAGCTTAGAGGTTTTTTTATTATGAATTTTGGGTTACCTTTTGGATCTGACGTAGAACTTAGTAATTACCTTCCTTCCCTTATAAGTAGGGTACTTTCCAGAACTTAAGAGGTTGCATCAGTGAAAATTTGCATTACATTTATAGAGCTTAGATGTGATTTAAATGTAACCTTTTGGATCTAACCTAGAACTTAGTAGTTACTTACCTTTAGCTTTTAAGATGGATACTTTTAGAATTCAGAGGTTGCATTAGTGAAACTTTACATCAAATTTGTAGTGCTTAGAAGTTATTTATATTTAAGTTCACTGTCACTTTTGGATCTAACCCAGAACTTAGTGGTTGCTTTCTATGAAATTGTAGGGTACTTCTAGAACTTACAGATTACTCTATTGGAACTTTACATCAAACTTGCATTGCTTAGAGCTTATATGTATTCAACTGTTTGGTCTCCATATGGATCTAACCCAAAACGTGGTAGTTATTTTCCTATTCCTCATAAGTAGAATACTTTCTTGAACTAAGTGGTTACTTTGGTGAAACTTTACTTTATTTGGTTATCTGCCATTTTTTGGCTCTGGCACAGACCTTAGTTGTTACTTTCTTTAAAGTTATGAGGTAGTTGTGGAACTTACAGGTTGGTCTACTTACCTTTCACCTTTCAATGTAATTCATAACCTATAGGGTACTTTCCAGAACTTAGAGGTAAATATATAGGGCCTTTACATTCTTTTGTATGGCTTAGAATTTATTTTAACCAAAGTTTGAACTCTTTGGTGAGTTTTTTGGGATCTAAAACTTAGTGGTTACTTGTCTTAACAGAAATGATACCATCTGGAACTTAATGGGTTTACTTCACATTACATTTGTGGAGCTTAGAGGTTATTTGCAAGTTCTTATTTCTCACTTTTGGATCCATCTGTAAGCTTTTGGTTTACTTTCCATTCACATGGAACGTAAATTTACACCCATACTTGCATTTTCTGGGACTTACTTATAGCTTTCCAGAACTTGCAGTTTACTTTATTAAAATGTGCCGGTTATTTTAATGTAACTAAGAGGTTTGTTATAACTGAATTTGGGAGTTACATTAATATGACCTACTATTTTTAACAGAACTTATAATTTTCATCATTCAGCTTACAGGTTAACCTTCGTAGATATTTAGATGTTACAGTTACTTTCCATAAACCTGTAGGCCGCTTTTGTAAAATAAATTATGTTTTGTTTTTAGGCTTGCTTTGTTTTACCCCACATTTATCAAAATGAGACTAATTTCATATAACTCACAGATTACTACAGTATATATAAATAATTGTTATTACTGCTGACAGGCTTTATTCCAGTTTTATAGATTCCTCTTTGGAGCTTACCTTTAAGCCTTAAAATACAGTAATAGAATCCAAATGTTTCCAATATGCAAAATATATAAATGGCATAATTTATTTATTTTGTTTGTTTTGGCATGATATCCCATATGCATATTGTATATAAAATACATATCTATTGCTAATTGTTTTACATTTTATTCATTTCATTCCTTCATGTGTTCCACACAGCTCTGCATTCCATTTCCACCATGTAATAATTTGTGTAGCAGATATCTGGTAGTGCAGAACAGTAGATCCCGTTGATGAAATATTAAGTTGGCAATTCAGCAATTTGTGGGGGCTGTGACGAAGCAGTGACCAACTTTCTTCCGCTGCCAATGAGGTACAAAGTTGGTCACTGCTTCGACACAGCCCCCACAAATTGATGAATTGCCAACTTAATATTTCATCAAGTTCCTTCCATGCCTGTTAATGAACCATTCATTTGATTCAGGGATGTTGAAGCAGAGAAAGGTCTAAAACATTCAGAACATTGTCCCCCACAGGCCGGAGATGGAGACCTCCATTCAAGCTGAAGAATACAAATCAGTGGAAAATGTGTCATGAATATTTCATTATGTGAGGCAGGATTTCAGGATTGCTTAAAATACATGTCAGACTTCTTTATTGAGATCCTCTGTCTGTAAATCAGGATTTTTTTAAAGCTAGATTAATGTAGTTTTTATTAGGGCTTGTAGGTATGAATCAACAGCTTTAATACTTGTTTTTTATTTTTATTTCAGTGCTGTGCAGTGGCCTTTATCGAGAAGCTAGACGCTCAGTCTCTCAACCTTTCCCCAGAGGAGTTTGAGCGCTACATGTCGGGTCAAGCTTCGCCCAGATTTAGCAGCTCAGAGGGGACGTGGCCCGACAGTTCTCAGGGAGTCGGCACGGCCGTCACCAACCCCGTTCTGGCCCAGCTCAACACCAATCTGGAACTGCTGTCGGGTCTCTGCAGCCGACAGGAGGCTGTGATGGAGGCAGCCAAGAGCCTCCAGAGCGAATTCCTCTCCTGGACTCAGAGTGTTCAGCGGGAGGTGAACGACATCCTGGAGAAATATCCTCTGGAGATTAAGTCCTCCAAGGTTTCCGCCATTGATGCCAACAATGTTGACAATGAAAACCTGCCGTCGCTCATTAAACCTCAGGTGTTTGCTGGTTAGAGTTTGCAGAGGATGGAGTAACATTTCATATTCATTTGTGGTAAACCTTCTTAGCTCATGTTACTAAGATCTCAGCTCTGTCGGCACCTAAGAACCCAGCTCACACCAATCCTTTCCATTTTACTTGGACCTAAAAACAGGCTTAGTGGTTGTATCATCCAGGTTTAGATTTTCCTGTCATTTTTCAGTTGAGCAGTTTGATCAATAGGATATTTAAACCCAAAATACAATGATTCCATAACTTAAAAAGCTTCAGTAATGCGCTCTGGCTCATTCATCCATTAGTATATGAGTTTAAACTCTAAAACTGATGCTAAACGTTTGCTTTTAGTGGTTTTTGTTAGCTTTTAAAAATTACTATGGGACAAATATATAGTGTTATTGAAATGAAACTTGATGTAAGAAGTTGAACCAAGCAGCTTAAGCAGAGGCTACTTAGTAACAAAGAAATACAAGTTAGTTAGTTAGTTAGTTAGTTAGTGTTGATAATGTCAAAAACAATCGCTTTAACATAGAGTTTTAATGACACTCTATTTGCTCCCTTTCTGTCTTTTTGTTTTTTAAAGTGGCATCCTATGGCATCGTAGACACCATTTGTATTTTTAGATTAGTATTATCTAATCAAAAATATACTTTTAACACTGTGTTAAAGTTCTGTAAAGCTATCAGGATGGCCCCTGTAATGATTATTGCTCCACAGGCTCCTACGCAAGACTGTAAGGTTTAGAAAAATCTGACATTTGATTTGAATATTTTCTAGCTTAGATTGAGTGTGGAAAAAGAGATTTGATGCGAGGAAAACTGTATTTCCTTATTCTATCCTTTTTTAATTGAGTATGCCAAATTGCTACTCTTACCATCAGGACAGCTGTTTTCAGATTTTTATTTTATCAACCCTACTATTTGCATATTTAAAGCCTGGGAATTGTAAAAGCATTCAGGGTGGAAATCACCAAATTCTGAGTCTGGAAAAATACGAATTTATGGAATGAAAAATCATCAGGATCCCTGGTTAATGGTACTGTACCAACACCTGCTGTTAAACAAAGCAGGCGAAAAGAGCTCCTGAAAACACCCACGTTTGTGTTTGCATGTCTTTATCTGAGGCTAGTTTGACTTTTGAAAAACACAAACATGATCTCCTTTCTTATTTAAGAGAGTAGCAGCTGCATCAGGTCACATAAAAAGCAGAAGCACTCCATTACTGTTAGTGTCAATGTTTCGTTTTTAGTTCATGTAATGTTCATAGATATACATATATATATATATATATATATATATATATACACATATTTGTGTTTGTGTGTAAATATGCTTTGCTTAATGTTAAAGTAGGCCAGTGTTGTCCGATTTCAATTTAAACTACTGCTGCTTCAGTTTGTTCATCATCATTTCACAGTTGTTGTTTTTTTAATGGACTGTTATTTTAAAGGAAAGGGAAAGTTGCACATGTAAAAGCCTTTAAAACAAATCATTTATATCGTTTACTGTACATTTCTGTTTTTAAATCCAGACTAGAGGGATTTTAAGGTAATTTCAACTTTTCTAAGCTATTTTTAAATGTTGTTTGTGTTTGTTTGTTTTTGTTTTTTTCATTATTTATCTGTGCCACATACATTTCTCATTGTTGATAGAATAATAGAACTATGGTTAAATTCTGACAAAAGACCAGATTTACAGTTTAAATAATGTATTTGAAAACCTACAGTGCCCATTTTTAGGATCATTTTCTTCATGTCTGTTTTTGCCATTTAGTGGGAAGCCTATTTGAAATGAATTAACTTTAAAAGATTGTTTGAATAACTTTAGTAATGGCACTAATTCTGTCATTGACTGATTTAAATTATTACCAAAACCTGTTTAAAAGTACGAATGAAGTGATTTTAATTTGAAAGGATAGTTTTTCTTTCATTCTATCACAAGAAAATGATGATAATTGTCCAAATCTGTGGTTCATATTTCATAATTGGTCAAAATGTTTTTGCTGTGGTGAAATAAATAAACTTAATGCGTAAAAGTTAGTCCCAGTTGATCATCTTTATTTTACAAGATAATTCTGCATTGTGTCCTACTAAAGAATAAGTTAAAGCTTTTTTCTTGGTAATCCTTTTGATTAAAAAGTTTTAATGTATCTGAAGATATAAGCTGTTTGGTCATTTTGATCATCATTCAATTTGGAGTAAAAAGAAGAAGCTTTCAAGCCTGAGAACACAGTCCCAACTGCGAAGTACGGAGTTGGTAGTATCATGTTGAGTTACTGTTTACTGCATGAGGGACTGTACGCTTCAATAAAAAGATGGCATCATTTAAAAGAAAGATATAGTGGAGGTTTTTCTTTTTCCAGGTGGATTATTAAAACAGGCGATCCTCCTAATTGCCAATCATTCTGGTGACATGTTGACGTAAGGCCGTCCTACGTGCTCGTCCCCAGGTAGCTATCTTTTTCTGTGCATGCGCACTTTCAGGCATATATCTGGTGTGCTACGGATTCAGCTCACCCTCCTCACGTGGTTCTTTAAAAATGGCAGAGGATCGTAAGAGAAAAAGTGTCTCTGAAGTGTGTGAGAAGAAAAGAAAGGCCTCAGGAGAGAGAAACAAGACCAGAGTGTTTTTGGAAGATTCTTTCACGTGATGGCGTAGACTGAAAGCACAGGTTGGACTTCCCACTAATGCCTCGGTTGCAAATTTTCTACCTGACAGGTAAAGTTTGGCATGTTATTAAGAGAAATCCATTTCACATCACTGCTAGTAAAACAAGGAGAAATGGGCTTGTGATGATCTCGCACACATTTAATAGACGTTCCCTCTCTGGAGCGGGTACAGGGTTGTGCATGTGCCTTTTTTTTAAATGGAGAGGGCAGGTCTTTTCAAATAATAGCGAAAATCCTCAACAATACCTTTAAGTGCAAATATTAAAAGCATTCCCCCAAGACTGGAAGTCAAAGCGTAATAATTAGCAATTTGAAATAAATCGATTGTAAAGTTGACCATAAATGTATTTTTTTTGCTATATAATAGCAACATCTTCGCTTCTTCTGACGATAGCAGTACAACACGCAGCTCAGCTCAGGTAAAGTCAACAGTCAACCCCTGATTCTGTCACAGCTGCTCTCTCAAACCTATTTTGAGCTGCTTCTTTTTATCGCCAGATGCACCTGTGGATGATTTGTTTCCATCTTTTGCATCTTGTCCTCTTCATTCCCAACAGAGCAATGCAATCAATCTGGAATCAAAGTAATAAAAAATACCCTCTTCAAGTGTTATGTAGATTAAAAAATGTGGTCAATAAGGTGTATTTTATTTGGTTTAAGATACTTTATGGAAGAACTTTGTTATTGCATCTATTACTATATTGGTTTTTGCTGTTTATAAGGAAGATCTGTGATCTTAAGCTACAATTTAGAAATACTAAATAGAATTTAAACTAGTAATTGAAGTCAATGATAAACAAATCCAATTTTCTGCAGTTCGACATTGAAAACAAAAACAAGTTTAAGGTGGATTAGCTTGAACTTTAAGATACAAAGACTAGATCAAACATATAAGGCAATTTAGGAAAATATTCTCCCAACAACAAAAAAAAAGAAATCAAACCAAAGACCTCCTCAGGTGCATAATAACCAACTCACTGTTTATTTATTGTCTATAATTTTAGGTGACGTGAGGGATCTCTGAAGGAAATCATCTAACATCCTCCATCCGACAAGAAGTCTCCAGTGTGCAAAAAAGTGACAAAAATGCAGTTTTAAAGGGCCGTTGTCCAAAGTCTACAGCTGTAAACAGCAAACTCATGGCTTGGTGTGGTTTGATCATAAACACATTTCTCATCCGGGGAACAAAAACGACTCATTGGTTTCAACTAGAGCTTGCATCCATTTGAAATGTATGTTTTTCTTAGATTACTGTCGTACAGTATGTGCAGATAACAAGATAAATGAACTGTTTATACATGCTTAGATATATTTCTGAAAAAAAAAAACAGTTATTGAAAGCTTTATACATACGGTAAGGCATAGAGTATATACAGAACTAACCTAAAGGTAGTAGTATCAAACATCATTTAGATTTTCACACAGCAACAGAACAAAGAATTCAAAAACTGCTCGTAATTATGTACAAAAATACTTATGCAAATGCCCCCTAGGAATATCTGAATAGAAAAAATAACAGGAATCTTGTCGGGAGGACATCACATTATAATTGAAACATGCACTTGTTGCAGAGGATTCTCAGTCCAGCTGTGGGCCTCATGTCTACATGTTCTGTTTTCACTGAAAGGTAGCGGGTCTAAGTGAAGGATTACGTGGTCTACTGTGCTCCTTGGTCCTCATGGTGGGACCATCCCCAGCAGACAGTTTTCAGTGAAATCCATGAATCTCATCACAAACTTGCTCTCCTCACTGTCCATTTCTCATTACACTTTAGACTCGCTCTCCAGATTGGTAATATCCCCGTTCCTTTCGGAAGTCTGACTGTTCTCCTCGTTCTCTGGGGCAGTCTTGGTCTCCTGGCCATCCTGCTGGGACTCAGGCAGCCCCTGTTGGCTCAGCTTGCTGGCCAGCGACCAGGTGAGGGGCAGTCGAGCACGGTTGGCCATGTCGGAGAGCTCTTTGGCACTGCAGGTGGGCGTGTTGGTTTCGTAGATCTCGTGGAAGCTGTTATAGTCCACCTCGTAGAAGCCGTCCTCCAGGGTCAGGACTGGCATGAAGCGGTAGCCCCATTTGATCTCACTGCTGACATAGGAGCTCCTGGCCTGACAGGTCATCCCTGGAAACACAACGGGAACATCTAACTCTTGTATACTACAGAGATTCAGTTCAAATTTGACATCTTAATGCTCGTATCCTAAGGTGATAGGTAAACAAAAATTGGGGGTTTTCAGAATTAATTCAATGACAATAAGATTAAGATTCTTTTACTTATTTAAAGCTTACTATTTTGATTGTTACAAATTTATCAAGCTACTATTATTGATGAACATGTAATTTAGTTTTAGCATCAGAAAAAATTGTCTTTATTGTCTTACT